TATAAAACGTGAGGTTTTTGCAGGAAAAGTTTGCACATATTTAAAGGTTCCTACCAGCACGCGATGTACATGCATAATTTGCAGCATGTGTTCTGATTCGTGCAGCGAAATGGAAAGTATCGAATTAACAAAATATGAACTTATTGCACTCAGAATGGAAACATTTCTGGTGTTCATACAATCCGAACTTGGCCTAAATACATACTTAATTAGCTGTATGCAGGTTTCGTTTCTCGGATAAGGTTTTGCTGTCAAAAGGACTTTCTCACTTGTCCGGCATGAGTTGTTTATTAGTCATTATTAGTAAATATTATTATTGTTACGCAATATGCTTTCAGATGCTTGATCTGAAAGTAATAATTAATAGTTAACATTTTCACCGTTCAAAACGTGGTGAATCAAGGTAATCTGTGTTTATTACTTACATGACAATACCGATATAACGACTCGCAGTAGTGCTAAATTTACCACTCATAATGGAACCTTTTTTCAAGCTACACAATGTTTAACGACTCATCAAAAAATCCACAACAGATTAAAAATCACATGGTGTTTCTCAATGTTTAATGGCCCCATTGAAGAAAAATGTGTAATTCAACATTTCGTATTTACCGGAATAAAAATTCGAACTAAACATAAAATTAAAAAAATCAAATTATTACGCCAAAAACTTCATTAAATTGGAAAACATGCAACTCATGTAAGCTATTTTATTAAAGAACAGAATGAAAGCATAAAAAGGACCTACAGACTTATCAGTATGCTTGATTAAGAATAATTCCACAAAATGCGTCCCAGTCGATCTCAATGCGTCATCATTTATTATTCACAATTCCGTCATAGCATTCCCTAACGAGCTTTACGTAACAAATTGTAAACAACTGTTGTTAAATATAAAATAAGTTTATGTATGAAATTTATTGATTACGCGTCTACAATTGCCCCCTGTCGTGGTGGTGGTTGCCATGGAGACGACGGGGGTGGGATTTTTGGGTGCGCGTCTCTCTTTGTTAAGTCGTAGTAAGTAAGTAAGGTGGAAAAAGTCCACACAGTCGAGTTTTAGTCGTTGTCAGAGTCAGACATTTTGGAATTTAGTCGTCGTGGTAGACAATCAAGTTTAGAATTGTTAGTTCTTTTTTGCTGCACGATCAATTTATAATTAAAGTAAGTCATCAATCAACTCGTGTTGTTGCAGAGCTCTGAATTGTGTTGACCATCGTTTAATTGATTTAAATAAAATCTAGTTTAAGTAGATAAAATAATCGTATAATTCACTCAGTCACTTTCTTTAATTCCAACGAGCAAGGCACAATTAAATATTCGTAAAGACACTATACTCCGGGTAGGTGATAGCTTGGTTTTTACAACTGTTCTAACAGTATGGTTAATTTTGAAAGTAATCTCCATAACTCTCAAGTACAAAATTTTGCGTGATTCAATGATTAACCAACCAACATAGTCGCACTAATCAAGATCCCACATAACATAAACAGAGTCATAATTGTTCCACCCAATCGTACCGGATCATCTTCAAGTTTGAGTATCGTGTACTCCGAATGACGCGAATGTTTTCTCATCGCAACTTCTAAATCTAGACGCCCCTGAATCCCTGATTCATACAGTGACTGAAAATATTGCGGCACTTTTGAATTACCCTCGCCAGCAAATGTCCACCCCACCAAGACATAATTCAAGATATCTTTTCCCTTGTAAAATTTTCTCCAAAAATATTTTCTAGACATTTCATCAAACTTAAGTCCCATCTCAACCGCTTTTGAAATGAGGACGGATTTTCCACATCGTACAATTTCATCATTAATTGCAGTTTTATTTATTTCTAGAGAGTAGCTATACATGATTGGGAAAACAAATGAATATGCATTATTCAGGAGCAAGATTACGATAGTATCAACGGAAATATAATTCATCATTCGAAAATCTTTCGATATCAATTGGACATGGGTCAATGTTTTTATATACGTGTGGGTCATTAAATTTTGATTCTCCCAGCCAGGAGACAATATTCTGTAGCATGTCGCGGAGTGTTTTGGGATTAAAAAATTGTCAAACAATTTTTCTTTCATCGTAACAACCCAATCGGTTAAGTTTGTTCCGTCTTTATACGATTTAATAATTTGTGCATCTTGACATACCAAATCTTGAAAAGTTTCTGGTATATTAGTCTTCGGAAGTGGGGAATTCAAACTAGAGATCATTAGTCCATTGTAGCAATTTGCTAGTATTACCGACATAAGAATCCAACTCCCAGCAACTATCCGGAAAAATTGTTGCTTCTCAAGCTGCACAGGGACTTACCCAGCCTCTTCGAAAATATTTGCCAAAACAAATGACCAGGGACAAAAGGCTTCGTAGGAACTAATGTTGATAAACTTTTTGTACAAACTGAAGACGACTGAAACAATAACAAGGGAGGCAAAAAATATTACCCATACCGCACGTTGGAAGGGGGCTAAATAGAATTTAAACGAAATATACGTATCCGAATAGCAAGTTAGAAACTGGTAGCCTTGAAATGTAAATATGACTGATCTTTTGGTGTGCAAGTCTTGAATAGGCTGATCCATGAGGGACAGCCCTACCCGTGCGCCATCTCTATAATACAATGCGTAAAGATGATAATACAGACTTGCGTTGGCTTGACGGAACACTGCTTGCAAAATATGCTGATAAACAAGAATTTTCGATTGAAAGGGTTCGAGTGGAAAGTTAGTTTGCTAAAATCCACGTGCTGCCCACCCTCAATTCCAATATCGCTAAGTGAATCCAATTTCCAGAGGATAGGAGAGGAGAGTAAATTTTCGAAAAGTGTCACAATATTTCCATTTTCTGATTGTTTGCATTCCATCGTAGATATTTTCTCGGACCACGTGCCGACACGTTGAACGCACAGGTTGAAGGTTCGATTTCGAGCAAGTAATAAAATCCCAAAGTTATCTAATAGCGGATCAGTTGCTAGCGAGCTTATTCGTGGATACTCAAAGATTTTGTTCAATTTTGATTTTTGTATTGCGGATACCAGAATTGTGTACACATTTTGGTGAGAAAAGTAGTCAGATTTAGATTGCTTGAAATAATTGGTCGCTATACTCATCCAGAGCGAATTCCATGGCTGTCGTAGAGTTACATTTCCAGGAAAGTAATACTTATAAATAACAAAACTAATTTTGCACTTTGAACTTCGGATTTTTAATAAAGTGAAAGGTGTTCTAGGCATGATATTCTTGACCTGAATTAACGTTAGTGGGTGGAAATTAGATGAACAAACGGGTTGAAGCACGTCATCACCGATTTTGTCGTAAATAATCTGAACTTGGCAATATTCTGACCTAGCAAGAAGGTATGGGATGCTAGCGTACTCTGCAGTTTTACATTGCACGGTTCTAAATATTTGCAAAAACAGGAATACATAGATCGTTTTTAAACCTCTTGGAGTTGAAGTGTACATTTTAATTTTTGGTTAGATTTTGATATATTTTAATAAAGTGAGTTTTTTCTTGTGGATTCCTATTTGACAATCGTAACACGATTGAAAACCTCAAGGCAATTTATTTAAGTGGAAAATTTTTTCATTCAATCAAATGATACTGGAATTCACATCTCGTGTCGAATATTCATTTGGTTGATGAAATATTGTGCATAATTTATGGACCTTTGTTATAGCTTAAACAGAGGTTTTCTATTAATCAAAATGATAGTTATAGTGGTTGATACAATGACCACATCACAAACTAGCTTTTTAGTGACTAAAGCTTACAATGCGATGGTGTAAAGTGTAACCCTCCGATTTGGTTGAAATTTTGAAATTATGTGGTCCATGTCAATACAACCAGCGTTTCTGCAGGCATTTTGTGCGATGGTCAGAATTTGGCAAAATATTTGAGGTCAAAGTTAAAAAAACGAGCGATTTTTACCTGGCGGAGGAAGCAAACTCAACTCCCATTCTCTCCCCGTGCTAAAAATTGCACATTTTTCAACTTTGAATTCAAATATTTTGCCAAATTCTGGCCATCGCACAAACTGCCTTGAGAAACGTTGGTTGTATTGACATGGACCACATAATTTTAAAATTTCAACGAAATCAGAGGGTTACACTTCACACCATCGCATTGTTAGTATTCATGATGAGTGTTTGTGCGAAATGTTATCGTGCTTAAATTCCGCTAAAGTTTTCGCTTGGTAAAAATTTGTAAGAGGCAGAAAATATACCCTACTGCGAAAAATATACCCTATTTCGCTCAATTTTCACTCATTTTAATAGACAGGGAGTTTTAACATGGGGAAGATAAGAAGACCTGAACCACCCACCCACGAAAATGATGACGTAATATATGACGATCCCTATCCGCATGTGTTCCGCATGAAATGTTCTTTATGAAGAGTTGGTCATTTAAACTGAGCTGGTCAAAAAATAATCTGGGCTGAACATGTTTTAAGCTCCTATTCTTAGCAAATGCGTACTCATTTTAATTATGCATTTATATAATTCCAATTATCATCATTAACCACTTTTACATCGTCACAACGATACATTTGTACAAGTCCAGCATTCATTGCTATATATGATTTGCATAAATACATACTTACATACATACGTACAATGGCTAAAAAGTGATTACATAGTTGTTCTGAACCTGCCAGCCAGGTTTGGTGAGGGCATCGGGTACTTTCGAGTACCTATAATCTCGCATTTGCAGCATTCTACATACATACATTTCTTCTGAGGATTCACGCATTCAACTTTTGGCGTTCGTAATAACTGACATGTAAAAACATGCAATTTCTATTCAATTTTTTCGATAAGATTTATGCATTATGTATGTATGTATGTACCTGAAGCAAATCGCGTAAACTAGTTTTTTAACGAGCGGAGCGAAATGAACGTCAGTTCGTGTGATAGTGATGTCCGTCCGTCCGTATCTCTAGAACGCCTTAACATAAGGAAAGACCCTTTACGCCATTGTGCTTCTAATTTTTAATTGTAGGTCGAGTTCGATCATAGGTCAATCTGACCACCCCCACGACCCCAGGGGTCCAAGAACTTAATCTTCATGTGGGGTGTCATTTTTAAAGCAACCTATTCCTCAAATTTTTGACCTCTGACCAATCCATGACCGTGAAACCAAGGTAAAAGTTAAAACAACTGTAGAATTTTAGTTTTACTCGTTTTATACTTATATATAAAAGATTACAGAAATCAGCTGGGAGGTCAAAGGTAAAAAAAATGTCGAACCGTCAAAAATCTTAAGTTCAACTCATTGCACTCCGTTTCCACTTGTTTGTTATATCGGTTCGTTGTGCTTGTTTAATATATTTCATGTTTTTAATAATCGAGAAGACAAACATTATTTACATACTCGACCCCAATTTGAGGTACTTTGCTGGTTCCAGACGGTTGGCGAGACGCAGCTAAAAACTCAGCAGCCACAGGCCCCTTGTTCTCGTCAACATTTAGTCAATATTTTGCATAATTACACAAACAAAGTAATTACATATGTGATTGTAATCCATTCTGTAAATTAATAAATACGACTCATTTTCCAGTCCTTGTGGTCATTCATACATATTTTTCTTATCTTTGACCACGAATATTTTCTCTCACATTTTCTAAATAATTTTCCTCATTTGACCTTACACATTGTTATAAAATTATTATTAAATCACTGCTGACCATTATAATAAGGAGAAGTGCAATTTACTTAGTAATGAAAAATTTGTCACTCCGAGAAAACTGAAACCTTTAAAAGTTTAAGCTTGCTCCAAGATGAGCAAAACATTACATTTCTTACTAATAATTCTGCACCTGCCCTTTTGGCTGCTTGCTCCCTTCTTGATTTTGGCATTTATTCCCATTTATCTGGCTAGAAATGGGGTAAAATTGTTGGCATTTGTGGTAAGAGAAATCTAATTATGTACATACACAAATTATAATTAACAAAAAATTAACAATAATTGATACCGGGACTTCGAGGGGAAGTAAAAAAATTTGTATTGCTAAAAACTAAAAAGTGTCTTTTTTCCCAGAATTTAATATTGCCTTATATTGAGAAATGTCGAAAATTTGGGCAAACAAATGCTTAAATTTAACATTGGGTGGTGATAAGAGAAATACCCCAAAATGACGACAGATTATACTCATCAGGGAGAAAGCCGTGAAAATCAAGCACCGCAATTTTGTCAACTATTTTTTTCTTTAAATTTCCGAAATCACTCGATTCAGGTTGTATGTATGCCAAAAAGTACGAATCTCCTTTCGACATCTTTTTCTATAAATCATCTGTCTCTACCAATTCTTACGACCTCCAGCCCCTTCCCCGCAGGGACAAATGGTCGGGAGGGGTGGATCAGAATGAGATTATTGGCAATTTTGTACTCGCAAAATTCAGGCCTACAGGCTGTACGAGTATTAACAAAATCAAATTTTGTTGTTTCCCTGGAACTTCCGGTTTTGACTATTACAAATATTACCCGATAGCAATTCCAGTTTAGACACGACTTGATTTCCATGCTTGCCCCGGTGGACGGAATGTTCGCGGCAGATCAAATCTACACCGGTCCAAAGAACACCGTCGTGGGTTGCCTGCATCTTGAGGGAATTGCGGATTCCGCCCATATCCGGGATATGTTGGACAGGAACATTTTGGAAGCCCGGTGTGAAAGAGACCCGGGAAAGTTGATGTATCCCGAATTGAGGAGGAGTATTACGCACTGGTTGGGATATCCTTTCTGGACCGAGACTGAGCTACCACATGGTGGAATCCGCACCCACGAAGATGGTATGTTGAACTAAAATCTAGGATGGCCCGAGTACCGGGTAATAACCAGATGCCCGGGAGACTCGGAATACCCGGGTATTCTAAAGTACCGGCCCGAGTAATTTATGTACATGTTCATTTTCTTACTTGAGATTCAGAACAGTACAAATAATTTGCCCTTCTAATCCCATAGATCTAATTTTTGTAAGAAGAAATTTTTGGAACGAACGGGGTAAAATTTTGACAAATTTGAATTTAAAAATAAAGTATAAATTTCAAAATTACTTTCTACATATTTATACTCTATATAAAGTTTTCAGCTATGTAATATCAACTTTTATAACTTTCGTTTTTTCGCAATTTTTAAAATTGTTGTTAATTATGTAAAAAAAAGTCCCCTTATTCTTAACATATACATAAATAAACGGCTGGCCGGATACTCGGCAAACATTTCAGGCCGACGCCCGAAGAGGCGTCGTACCGGGTATTTCGACTACCTGGGGCCTCCATGAAGTAATTAACTTTTTTTCATTATTTATAAACAGCATTAAGCCTTGAAGAGCTGCACAAATTTCAGACCCAGCTAACATTTCAACCCTTCCGGAAAAATGCCCCGCTGTGGGAGCTCGTTCTGATCAAGCGGATTACGGATACTCCAAATACTTCCGCCGTTTTGTTCCGGTTTCATCACGCCCTTGCCGATGGGCTCGCCATATTTTCGCTTCTTCGCAAAATGACAAGTCCGCAGAATCCGAAAATTCGTAAGCAAGTTGTTCCTGCACGAGGAAGGTGTAAGGGTTTCAAGGCGCTCAGAATTTTATCAGCACCGTACGATATTGCCAAGCTCGAAAAAGAGTTGGGTCAAGGTGGTTGGCTGATCAAAGATAAGGAGGTGAGTTTCAGAAAAAATCTGGATTTTATCAAGCATTTCAACTTTTCTAATTCCAACCCGATTTGAAGAATTTATCCATCTATTTGCTCATAATTAATTATAAGAGTAAGTTTAAAAAATTCTAGTTTTCAAAAACTAAGAATTTGCATACATTTAAGGCTTTTCAAAATTCAGAAATGATATGAAAATTGCATTTTCGCCAAAGGGATAAAAAGTACTAGACAATTTGATCTTATTGCCGCATTTGGAAAACTATAAGTTTAACATTTACCCATTTAAAATACACACTTTAAATAAAAAACGACTAAAATTTACTAAAGGTTGAGCAAAGAAAGAGGATGAAACAACCAAATGTATCCAACCTTTGTGCAAAATTTGTTGGAACTTGCGTAAAATGTGTCCAATTGGCGGATAAATTTTGCCCTTTGGTTGTGCCATCCTTTTTTTGTTTATTCCAGCTTAAGTAAATTTTACTTATTTTTATTTAGAGTGCATTGAAATCAAAATGCATTTTTCTATTTTTCAAATTTTTGCTACGTAGAACATTAGCGAAATATATATATTGGAAATATAATAATTCTAGTAATTAATTATTTTTTGCCAGGGTTGGACCCAGCTCGATGGCAACTCGCACTATTCAACTGTAGCTGCCCGACTCCGTTTCCATTCCAGTGAATCAATCCCATTCAGCGTAATTCGCAGAGCTTTTTAATTAACGCAAAGAATAATTAATTAGTAATTAATAATTAGCGCTGACATCTTTAATCTAATTAATTATCAATTTTTAATTAGAGAGCTTCAACTAATTAATTATAATTACTAATTAATTACTTCTAAAAAAAGTAATTAATTACTTCTCGAAAAATAATTAATTAGTTAAAAAAATAATTGTTTTCAACGCAAATTTACAAGCTACAATATAAAATTACGGACGGCAGAAATAATTACCGGCAACTCAAATTTATAATATCATTTCATTACATTTTAACATCGCCCATATTTCGGATACATTTATGTATCCTTTAATTGATGGAATGATTATAATCAGTCCATCAAGTAAAGTTCAACTGGAGCTGATGATGGTATTTGAGTATTGACATTGTTAGTTTGTTAAGATTTTCATATTAATTTTTGAGAATATCGTCTTCCATTATTGGCACTTATATACTTTACAGTATGCAGTTATTTATTGTAACAAAGTTGAAATTATTGCATGAAATTTAATTATGAGGGCTTGAAAATAAGTCATGTAGAATAGGAGAGTTGCCAGATTAAAAAACGCCACTTTACCTGGGAAAACGAAACAGCGCAAACCAGATAAATCTCAAAAATTAAGTAATTAATTAGTTAATTAATTAATTGGTTAAAATATCACGAAACTAATTAATTATAATTGACTCAGTTTAATTACTCTAGTAAGGTAATTAAAACTAATTTATAATTGTTAATTAGCTGAAAATTGGTAATTAATTAGCAAATTAATTGATTTCACTAATTAATTAAAAAGCTCTGGTAATTCGTCAGGTGGGAGGTGCCCACGGGGTGTCGGTAACTGCGGTGTTGCACTCTGCCATGCTGGGTGCTGTGAGGAAGTCGTATTTTCCAAGTGAGGCAGAATCCATTTCAAGGGTAAGGGTGCAAACCCAACTGCTTCCCATGTGGGGTAGGGGAGGACGTCTCTTAGGGAATAATATGTAAGTCGATACTTTATAGAAAGCTGGATGACTTATGGTCTGTATTTTAAAATCAGCACATTTTCTTGCTCAAGGGCGCAGTGGCCGAGGTTCTAACGATGAGTATGTTGTATATTGAAATTGCCACGAATTGGTCAATTGCTCAGAGATTTTTAAATTCCAACTGATTTACAAATATTATTAAATGCCCGCTAAGTTTTCAAAACCTTAGCCATTTTTTTAAACTTGTGACCTTAATGTCTGCTGGGTGTCATCGTTTTTAAAAATATTTAATTGGCTGAATGGCCCAATCGACAGTTTTTAAAATGACCAAGTGACCAACTAGTACCAATTTAAATATCCAGCCCATCAGAATATCTGCAGCTTCACTAGCATACCAAAAACCGGAAGAAAGGGGTCTAATAGTAATATAAAAACCATAGTAGAGTTACACTGGACTAACACGTATGGACTGTGCAGAAAGCATCTGATCGATTTGAGGATGGGTGGAGGTCAAGACATTTTATCTTTACCATGTTAATTATATGTAATATGGAGCACTTAGCTCGCATGAGTGGGATAGTGTTAAAATTCCCCGAAAATCGATCACATGCTTTATGTAAGGCCCCTTCGAACAAGGCAATCGCTCCGTGTTGATGCGATGCAACTTCCATCATGGAATTTGCTTTCTCGTTTAATGTGTGAGAAGCAGGAAACACGGACTATTTTCATGTGCTTGCCTTGGATTTTCATAAAGCCTAATTTTACCCACATTTTTGTGCGTTGCACGCACGGAAAGTTCTTCTGTCCCCATTTTTGCCAACTTTTGACATATGTGTTAACCAACTGGAAGCTTAATTTAACTAAGCTGTCTCCACACTTTTTGACGACTTCCGACATCAAGGTAGATTATCTATGTAAAAAACTGACATTATCCATCAATTACAGAACGTGTGGTTCATACTCGGCCCACATGGGAGAACTTGACGTAGTGAAGCGTCTCATTGAAACTCATGAAAGTCTCGTCGCCATGAAGCGGTCGGCCTGCCCGGTAGGTTTGGCCGTATTTATACTCGCCCTAGGCTGTCTGTCTCGCCCCGGGATAAGGAACTATTTCCAGGGCAGGGACCAAGAAGACAAAATTTTCGTCTTTAATATACCCGGGCCGGAGGAGGTTGATAATTTTTGCGGGTATAATATCAAGCATATCGACATGACGGTGGGATCATATGCGGCGAATGCAGGTTAGCTGTTAACCCATTAAGCCATTAACTCAGGACGGATTTCTCACGCTAAACGAGAGGTTCTTTGTTTTGCACTGAATTACTCTGTCGCCTAAATTATTCTAATTTCACTACAAGCTGTACCACATGGGAGCGTCTCTTCCAATAAATTGCAAAATGTTACTTCATTTTGCTACCTATTTTTTATTAATCTTTTTCATGTGAAAAATCCGTCCTGCGTACTAGACTTAAGGAGTATGATAAGGGAATGAATTAATTCTGGAACGTGACAAGTGTGATGGGGTCATCGTGCAGGAGGAATTACATTTTTCTAATAAAACTCGAAAAAACCGAAGAAGATATTAAAAAATATTTAAAATTTTAGTAAAAAAGATGTTCAAATTTTCCTAAAAATCACTACAAAAATTTCACGCTTCAAAGAGAAAGTGGTTAAGATCAGGGACCTTAAAGAAAGGGTTGTCTTCCTCTCGCACCATAACCATAATTTTTCTGAACAACTTTATTCTTACCCTCGAATTCAACAATTTCTTATAAACAAAACAATTTTCTTCATTACGAATTAAAGCGTTAATATTTTAAAATCTTACAAGGGACACTCACGACCTGTCGTTTGAGTCCAGAGTACCCACTATGTTTTTTAGAATCTACTAGGACCCCAGATGAAGGATCCATTCATATTTCCGTGGGATCGGATTAACGGGATCGGATTGGAACATACTTGATTTACAAAACTCAATATCCCATCTGAATTAATCATATTGGATTTAGACGAAAAGGCATGAAATATATCAAGTAGCCCCGATAAATACTGAGCGGCTTATTTGGAAGAATCTATTCGTCATGCTTTTTTAGTTTCTTCACCTCCTCTGGTCGGTCTAAGTCTCTCGCCCTATTCAGTTTTTTTCTTTGACTTGATCTGCGACGACAAATTACCAACTCATCATTGACTGGAAAGCCTAAAACCAAATACTGTTAAGTTGTTAACTTTCGAAAAAAATCTTCCTAATATTTGTACGGATGCTAGAAAGAAGATGAATCGCCGTTAGTCGTCTGGGTGGAAATTGTGTCACGTCACCGGAACACTAAAGGTTATAGAATTCGGAAACGAGAGTAGGGGAGAATTTCAACTTGGAAGGGGACAATTAAGCAGTATAAAATTTATTAATGAGATTCTTGTATAAATAAAGACATTTAATTTTTAAGATTTGATATTTTGTTTTTGTTCCGGAATTTATTTTAAAATATCCAAAGGGAATTTTGATGGTTTTCATATAGTATATTTTCATACTGGATACTGTTTCCCGATATCATATATGACGAAATAAAATTTTCATGCTAAATTTCAAATATGAATCAACGGGTTCGTATTCGAGAAAAGTGATGGGGAATCCTTCCCCTTTTCCCAACACTGTTTCCCATTGGACTCGCCCTAATGGAAACAATGGGAAAGAACTGCACGGGTTAGCCAGCAGATTTGTGATGCTAACATACTCTGAAGTTTTATGTACATCAGACGCTTCTAAATAAATGTAACGAAAGAAATATGGAGATCGCGATTTGACTTGACGTGTACATACATTTTAGTTAAGTTCATCTAATAATGGAAATAGGAATCCAACGTATGCTTTCAGATTTGGACAAAACTGGTAATTGCATACAGGTTTCATTTCTAATATAAATATGTACACTCTTAGCAAAATGGGATTGAATCATATTTGCATAACTTATCAAAATCAAAAAGAGGTTTCAGTCTTTAATTTGAGTGAGGAATCAAATCCTTTAAACAATCATACATATACTTTCTTACATTAATTAATTAAATTCAGAATAAGCATATTCTTTATTCTTTATTCAATACAATGATACTTATACACATAAATAATGCGTGAATAATATTTGTCAAAATTTTTCCTTTAAATGAATTTGATTGGCTATAAATGTATTTACTCTTTTCATACACCCGGTAGACAAAAGTATTGGTTATTATTTAAGTCGCATCTTCATATGAATGTAAAACCTTCATATGTTATTGAAATTGGTCAAATTTTTTTTCGTTGGTACATAACTTCATTACCTTCAAAATAGGGTACTTGCACATTTTAACATTCAAGTATTTTTGACAAAATTAATTACAAACCATTAGAAAACGTGTGATGGAGTCGGTCATAAGTATTGGTCATTTCAATTTTCAGTGTTATAACTTGAAGATAAACTAACATATCTTACGTGTAAACTAATTTTTGGATACAATACTTCTTTACTGTTAGATTTTAATCATTTGTGAACAAAAAATTATGAAATTGTTGAACTGGATATTGTCAAGTAATAACAGAAACGAGGTATCTACAAAGAAGTTCAAAGTGCTCACGATTTTTACAAGAACTTTCATCTGAAAATAAAATGCTGTAAATGTGACCAAAACAGTACCAGAAACAGGTTTGGGCGCTAATAAGCCATAACCTGGACATATGAACGTAACAAAACCACGCTAGAATACGAATATTGTGAATTTTTCTGCAGTTCGTCATGAAGTCACTGCCATGAATTGGCTTAAAAACATAAATACTGAGAAATGCAGTAGGTTACCTCGAAGCTAATTGGTGGAAGATTGCCTGATGCTAATTTGAAGTTAATACGAATGCCACAAAATAAGTTAAGTACCAGGAAGGAAAATATCAATAATTTGAGATAGACAAATTCAAACCATACCTGAATAACTAAGTGTTGCTTTAAGGTACGTTACCTAGATCAAATTGAATTTCGCGTTTTCAGGAACAATGGGTCCAGGTTGACTTGGTGACGGCCAGGAAATTAAGCAAAAAATTAATTCCTACATAACACAGTGAAATATCAACAAGACCATGAATTTGCTAAGCTTGTTTTTGCTCATCATTACTAATACATATGCCTAACTTTTTTGTCGTGATATGATTTTGAGTTTAATGGCCTTAATTTGTGTCGACGGTCCCGCCCAACTTACCGAAAGCAAAAAACACCAAGAACACATCCATTTTCGTACAAAAAATTTAAACCAATCAGTGCAAGATAGGTATTTTTGAACTTATTTACGTTTCTACGAAATGATTACCCAAGCATATCGCCCAGGTGGCATAGGAATGCGTTCAAACCTTCAGACCTATATGTTGCGGAACATTTAATATGGTCCCCTTGCAGATTTAAAAATTAGCGAGCTATTAGAACATAATTCTTGGACAAAAACATGCTATGGTGCATAATGGTAGTGAGTTGGCGAATTTTTCGAGCATAAATGACAGTTAACATAAGCTGATTTAATTTATAATATTGGAAATGCTTGGCCATCAAATATCACAAAAGTAACTGCTGCCGCCAATTTTAATTTTGAATTTAATTATGAATTTTGAGAGTGACCAATACTTATGACCGACTCCATCACACGTTTTCTAATGATTTGTAATTAATTGTGTCAATAATACTTGAATGATAAAATGTGCAAATACTCTATTTTGAAGGTAATGAAGTTATGTACCAACGAAAAAAAAATTGACCAATTTCAATAACATATGAAAGTTTTACATGCATATGAAGATGTGACATAAAAAACAACCAATACTTTTGTCTACCGGGTGAATGTACGAATTAATGCATAGTGTTTCAGATACACATATATTTAAATTTCAACTCTAATAAAGGACATGCATTTTTGAAAGCTTTATACCTCCTTCACGCCAATCTGTAAGAATGTCCAACCAAAATCGAGTTCTGACCTTATTAAGTAAAAGATTACGGATCGCGGGACAAGAGAAAGTGTGGATACCGCTTTTCGAGCAAATTAAAAGAAATAAGCTAATTTATTTGCACACACGCAAATTCCATTTGTCTCTATAGCATACTTTACGAACAAAAATTCTCACAGAATGATTAATTTTTAAAGTTGCCGCCCAGACTATGAAGTACAAAATTTTACGCAATTCAGTGATCCAAATAAACACAGCTAAACCAATCAATACCCCGCATAATATAAAAAGAGTAAGAATTGCCCCACTCAATCGTACCGGACTATCCTCACGTTTCGGTATCGTGTACTCGGAATTACGTGAATATTTTCTCATCGCTATCTCCAAATCTAGACGTCCCTGAATCCCTGATTCAAACAGCGACTGAAAATATTGTGGCACTTTGGAATTACCTTCATCTTCAAATATCCACCCAACCAAGATATAATTTACGATGTCTTTTCCCTTGTAAAATTTTCTCCAAAAATATTTCCTAAATAAGTCATTGAATCTAAACTCCATGTCAAACGCGTCAGAAACAAGGGCAGATTTTCCGCATTTTACAACTTCATTATTACTTAAGCTGGCTTTTATCTCATCCGAGTGATTACGCTTATTTGGGACAAATGAATACCCTTCACTAAAGAGGAGTGTTATTATGGTTTCCATGGGTATAAATGCACGTGTTGGCTGCTTACGTTTATAAAGCTGATTGGGTTGTTTAGGTACCTTGCGAAAGTAATTGGCTGTTTTGATCACTGTATCGTAAACTAGCTGAAGACTCTCATCTCCGGTAGAAAATATTTTATAGCATGTCACGGAATGTACTGGATTGTGGAATTTTTTAGCCGCTTTATCCATCGTCGTAACAATCCAATCGGTTAAGTCTGCCCTGTCTTCATACGATTTAATAATTTGTTTATCTTGGCATATCAAATCCTCAAAAGTTTCAGGAATATTAGTCTTTGGAAGTGGGGAATTTAAACTAGAGATCATTAATCCATTGTAGCAATTGGTTAGTATTACAGACATCAAAATCCAGCTCCCAACTACCATCCTGAAAAATTGTTGCTTGTCCAGCTGCACAGGGACATATCCAGCTTCTTCGAAAATATTTGCCAGCATAAATGACCAGGGGCAAAAGGCATCGTAGAAATTAACCTTTTTAAACTTTTTATACAAACAAAGAACAACTGAAACAATAAGAAAAGAAGCAATAAATACTCCCCACAATAAAGGTTGGAAGGGAGCTAAATAAAATTCGAACGAAATAAACGTATCCGAATAGCACGTTAGAAACTGGTAGCCATGAAATTTGAATACAACTGATCGTATTTGGCCTGACTTCCATATCTGATAGGTGTTATGCATATGGAACAGCCCTAACTCTGCCTTGTTTCTTTTATTAAATGCATACACATGATTTTGAAGACTTGCGTTGGCTTTAAGAAATACTGTTTGAAATATATGCTGATGAACAGAGAAGTTTATTAGTCGATTGAAAGGGTTAGAGTAGAAGGATAATTTGGTATAATCCACGTTTTTCATAGTCTGAGTATCTACAATCCAATCCACCCTCCAAAAGATAGGAACGGAGAGTAAATTTTCGAACAATTTAACAATATTTTCATTTTCTGATTGTTTGCATTGCATCCATAGATCGGAGTACTCCGGGCTTGGAGTACGTACTCCGGCCTCCGGAGGCCGGAGTACGCAGCTTTTTCTGGAGGCCGGAGTACGCGGAGGCCGGAGTACGCATGGCCGCCGGAGGCCGGAGTACGCAAAATTTCCGATCGCATAGATAGGAGAATTCCGGGCTTGGAGTACGTACTCCGGCCTCCGGAGGCCGGAGTACGCGACTTTTTCTGGAGGCCGGAGTACGCGGAGGCCGGAGTACGCGTGGCCAGCCGGAGGCCGGAGTACGCGGAGGCCGGAGTACGCGTGGCCAGCCGGAGGCCGGAGTACGCGGAGGCCGGAGTACGCGTGGCCAGCCGGAGGCCGGAGTACGCGGAGGCCGGAGTACGCAAATTATCCGATCTATGATTGCATCATTGTAAAATTCTTTGGCTCCCAGCTGATAGGATGTACGCACAAATTGAAGTTTTTATTTCGAGAAAGCAATAAAATCCCAAAGTTGTTAAATAAATAATCCTTTGTTCTTTGCTTACGTGGATACTGAAATATTTTTTCCAAGCTTGATTTTGGTATCGTTGATACCAGGATTTTGTACAAATTTTTATTAGAATGGTACACAGATTTAGTCTGTTTGAAATATTTTTTCGTAGCAGTCATCCAACTGGCATTGTATGGCTGAGAGAGAAATAAATTTTCATTGAAGTAATACTCATAAACAATAAAACTGATCTTGTATTCTGAATTTAGGATTTTATGCAAATTTGTGATAGTTTCTCTAGAAATGTTGAAGTAGCTTAAATAAATTAGAGTAACTGGATGAAGATTCGAGGAACTAACGGGTTGAAGCATATGGTTACCAATTTTGTCGTAAATAATCTGTACTTGAGAATATTCTGACCTAGCCAGCAGACTTGGGATGCTAACATATTGTGAAGTATTGCATTGGACACTAAAAAGTTGTGACAATAGGAATACAGTGATTACTGTTAAAACTCGTGGACTTGACGTGTACATTTTAACCGCAAGTTAAATTTCTCTGTATAAGTAAATATAAACTTAGAGTGTCTGATTTTTAAGTAAAGTTGCCAAGCTTCCCTAGGTGACAACCCTGACACGATTAAAAATCGCTATGTGATTTATATAAGTTGAAATATTTTGATGTATGTATATAGAGAAGGTACCCATATTCACATTTCGTGTCGAATATTCATTTACTTGATGAAATTTTATTCATGATTTATTCACATTGGTTCATGCATACACAACACAGATATTCGTCATTACACTATATAATCCGTGGTAAGTCCATAAATTATTAAGTAGCTTCAGCTACTTTATGTGAAGACTTTGTCCGTCTGTCTGTCTGTCCGTCAGCAGGATATCAGGAGAACGGATCGAGATAATCGAAATCGGTTTTCGCCATCATACATAGGACCCCAGGGGGAGGATCCTATCAACTTTTGGGGGCAACTGGACCACACCCCTTGGCGCCAGGGGGTGTGGTCGGGGTAAAATGAGATTTTTAGTGCAATTTAATCTGTAGATGAAATAGAGTAAAATTAAGTGTTCCCGAGTTGTGACACACCCCCCTCGTCACCAGGGGGTGTGGTCGGGGCAAAATGAGATTTTTGCAAAAATTTAATATATAGATGATATACAGTAAAATCAAGGGTTCCCACGATGTCGTGGAAGTGCTTAGAGTGAAGTAGTCTGAAGCTACTTCCGTATGGGCGTTTGCGACGGTTTATTTACTTCACGGTTGAGGTGGGTGGGCAGGTAAAAGTTTTGTTTGACAGCCCCATTTCAGCCATACATATTTTATATAGGATATTATAGGATGTTACACGTGTCCATGGAATACGTGGAACACGACCACACACTATGTCGGGACTAATATTTAATATTTCTCATCGTTGAGATTAGATTTTGCAGTTCTGAAGTACCTTACATATTGCTAACTTAGGAATACCAAGTTTGTATTTAATTTTAATTTTGTTTTAAATTATAGTTTACTAAATATAGATATTTGCAAACTTTTTTTTTAATTCGCACATCAATAGTTTTCAAATTAAAAATCGGTTTACAGTTGGTTTTGCTAATAGTCGAAAACCGGTTTTTGAGAATCTGATTTATCACAAATCGGTTGTGTCAAAATTTGAAAAACAATTGAAAGCCGATTTTTCGAAAAATCGCTAAAATTATAATACTAATATCTCAAAACTATTTAAACGCATACTTTTGAATTTAAATTTTGACATTTCCTACTTTCATTAATATTTTGATAACGAAAACTAAATCCGACTCAACGTATGTTGTATAAAGGAGAGAATGTCAATTCTTCATTGAACTTCATAAAAATATTGACAGACACATATATGTATATGTATGTACATGCATATGTACATTTGTATTGGTAAAGGCAAATTTAGATAGGCCCCCAAATCTTTCTCACGTACCGGCCCCCAATCTATAGTTCCGCCTCTGTAACAGAGGGTTTGAAAATAAGAAGTTTTGCGGGACATATTTAATTCATTAACGTTTGCCAACGAGGGAAATACATATGTAATATATCTAACCCGACTGGAAGATAATACTCGTTGCTGGCTTTACATATACATACATACATACACACACATTTTTAAAGATTTGACGCCATTACCTTGGCAGACATTAATTTATTAGTAACTTATGCATATGCAAACGTTCTAAATCCTCCAATATCTGCTACCGCTAAGTAAGCAAAATATGTCTTTGTATTTCCATCATGGTACCAAATTTAGTCCCAATTGGTGCAAAACTATTGATGTTAATTCAACTATATAATTCTGCCAAATAAGTTCCGGTTTTTATGAATATATTTGAACCTAAATAGGGAGGACATGAATGATTTATGTATTTCTGCCAATTATGTATGTAAGTATTTTATAAGTATTTTGCATTCGAAAATCTCTCTGACTGAACAAAATTGATTGTTTGCGTCTTTCGTGACGTGAAAATACATACATATGTTGTTGTTGGTGGATGACGTTTTTCAAGTAAATTGAAAGAAATGAGTTCATTTACTTGCACACACGCAAATTGTTGGACATAATGTTCTCCAATATTTACTGCATACTAATCGTAATTCGGGAGTATGTAATATGGCGTGCGAAAAAATTCGCATGTGTATAAAAATTGCAACAGTAATTACCAGAGGGATGGAATTTAAGAATGTAAATATTTTAAATTTTGCCAGTTACCAGACAAGTGCTTTGCGTTTGTTTCATAACTGTCCTAGATCATAAAAATTTTAAAATGTTTGTACCCACTTCAAAGCAAGTTTTCACACATGCTCAAATATGTAGGTAGAAATAATTTGTATCGAATATTTTAACAATATGGAAATATTTTGAATGTATTTTTTAAAGCACATAATATACAACTAAAATCCGACTGTAAACAAATTCTGAGCTTTAAATTCAATTATTGATATAAAAGTTTGCGAAACTTGTTACATATGTATTTGATATTTATTCAAACTTAAGAACTTTTTGTAGTAAAAATTGTCCATGTAACGTTAGCATCGTAAAATAGTTTACGATGAAATAAGCTGGGGTCAACCTTCGTAAAAATCGTAACCTTACTGACGTAATTTTTACTCACCAAATCTTACTGCGCTTACAAAATTGCATAACTGTCTTAATTGAATTGATTTTACGTTACGAAGAATATAAAGATATAATAAATCATAAGACTTAACACCGATTTTTACCAGCCGGCCGCTGTTCATTGAATAATTATGATTGATGACACAATCACGAAACAAAATATGGAAATAAATAACGACGTATTATGGACGCCAATGGTCACGCAAGGTAGTCACGAAGAGATGACATCCTCCTCCAACTACTCAGCACAAAACTAACTAATTTATGGCGGGAAACTAAGGATAAATACTGACTCCGAGCGAGGCATGCATCTAATCTCCAGCAAACCTCAGCCTCCTTAACGTCCTCATTTAATTCTTTTAAACATGCAGGCCGCCGGCTCCCTGAGAAAGCGGAGACGTCGCAACCTCGCCAAAGTGAGCGGCCTCGGCACCGTCGGGTACACCGAGAACGGCGACGTTTTCGATATCAAACAACTTTACGGCGGCGCCACGGAGACTTTACCATGGGCGAAACCTCGCGGTTCCATTCAAAGCGGTCGCCCCACTCGGGTGCCCTATCGGCCTGAAGAGTGGAGCGAATCGCGACAAAGTTCGGCCAGTTCGAGGAGATCGTCTTCTTCAATCCCGGAGGGATACCCGCCCCCGGGAGAGCCCGGGTCAGCCAAGGCGGAAAGACCGTGCCTCCTGAGTAAAAATGCGGTCAGCGGGTTAAGGCAGATTTGTATAGTGGGAGCGATGACGTGGGCGTTGCCGTGGAGGTAAAATTAATTACAAAATTGCTCATAATTGTGATTTTTGATTACATAATTCTTATTCTGTAATGTTGCTTCGTATAATTTCTGGTCCGAGGTCATTTCTTATTTCACCCCGCACTATTAAAAATAGTGTTACCCTGATCAAAAAAGGGGCACTCTAAACTCTGTATGAATGAAACCATACTAAATCCAGCTCAGGGTTGACCATATCAAGACTCAAGTTTACACTTGATTTGACATAGTTTATGTATTTAACTCAGAGTTAAGACTACATTTACTCTTCAATAATCATTTTTAAGAGTGTATTTAAATCAATCATATATTTATGTAAATTAAATATGTCAATGTGACAGGTATGACGCGAAATCGAGACGTGTCGAGCGGTGGAGTCCGGGCGTGCACAGGGTGTGGTCCGTCGTCTGGTGGCTGTTTTACATGCAGAACACGGCCCTGCTGGGTTTCCAGTTCTTCGCCATTACCCGGGTGCCGCTCGACCACGGGAGTTACCGACCCGTCTTCATGAGCTCGTGGTGCCTGTTCTGGTTCATTTACTCGTTCTGCCTCAACATCACGATGCACATTTACCGCGACAAGATACGCTGCTACATCAACACGCTGATCGCATTTAATGAGAAGAATGTCCGTAAGTCGTAAATACAAGGGAACAGGCCGAGGTGTCCAACACGTTGAGGGGAGACACCTACACTAAAATGACCACGATACATGACTTGTCCAATAACCTGAAGGAATTTTTGTGTAAAATTCACTTTTCGTCAAGTTGTGACGATACTTGTGACGAGCCTCGGAAGTATTGGGTTGTCAGAAGGAGAATTCGGTCGCTGAACGTTCATGTCGAATACATGTTCTGTTCATAGAATTTATTTTAAATTTAAAATAATTTGAACCCATAACAAATATTTGTTAATTTCACTTGATGCGTTCAGAATTTCGAAATTTGTTCAAAATTTCAACAGATTTCTTCAGTCTGTTGGGTAAGTCATATAGTACATATAAGTCTCGACCCTCAACGCGTTGAACACCTCGGAATGTTCCCTTGTATGTAAATCTGTCCATATTTATGTTGGACACACCAAAATCAAATCACCCTTTGCCAAAAGTACTAAAAGCTATAATTCCAAAATTTCAATAAAATCGGAGCGTGGCACCTAACACCATCGCGTTATGAGGCGTGTATATTTCAGAACGGTACGTACTGACCCTGGACGGATTGGGGGACCATGGGCGCGCGATTTTGAGGTGTACCCTTCCCGCCAACTTCTTCCAGCTGGGGTGTTGCTGCTTGCTCTATTACTTAATGCCCTACCAGCCCTGGTACCTCACGAGCTACTTCTACTCACCGGATAACCCCAGGTGGTGGCTTATCCCGGGCGTTATCCATGAGTGGATAGAGGCGGGCCAGACGATCAGCGTGTTCTGTCTCCTTGCCTGGGTCACCGTTTCGCACGGAAACTGTGTCGAATTCTGGTTGATGGAGGCACAGTAAGGATGAATTTGACTACTGCTTAAGGTTCTATTCCATGCAGAGTTTGAATTTGAATTATTGTGTCTCAGCTTTCCCCTCCATGTATTTAAATGACGATTTTGAAATCAAGTAATTAAAAAATGAAGATTTTGTTTTTCTTCAAAATATCTACAATTTTTACGTGTGTTTGGAAAGTTATGAAGTTCGAATTTTGACTTTTTAATGAGAAAATACATAATAAAAATAGCAAGTCAATATTATTGATTGATTGATTTATTCATCAAACCCCTTTCAGGCATAATTGCCCATAGAGGTACATACAAGATATTTATAAAGTGACATAGTAGCAAGTCAATATTAAATATTTATTTTCTCATTGACGAAAAAATCTTAATTCTTACCTCCTACATAACTTCACAGAGCTAAAAAAGTTTTCATTTTTTTAAAGCAGAAAGATGAACAGGTTTCATAATCACCATCTGAATACATTGAAGTGGGGAAAGTTGAGACACAAGAATTCAAATTCAACACCTGCATACAATACCGCCTTAATTAATGTTCCTAATTTTTTAGTCAGAACAACGAGACGGGCTACACGATCGACCAATTGCGCGAGTCTCACACGGCCGTCGAGCTCTACCGCTCGCTCCAAGTGCTGACGGGCCTCCTCAACGAGTGCATCTCTCCGCTAGCCTTTCCCTTAATGAAGGTAACAAATTTTTACTTGAAATCGCTTTTAGAAAAAATTGAATCATCGAAAACCGGTTATTCGGAAATTTACAAAATTAGAAATGATCATAGGCCGATTTTTTTAACTCTTCGAATTTGGGTGGATCTTCACCCAATTTTACTAAATCTTTCGATTCTGGATGACTAGACAATCCTTTATTCTAATCCTCCGATTCAGTATCATTAATAGCAGGTATTTCTAAATCTTCGGTTTTTGGATCAATCGAAACCCGATTTTTGCAAATCTTCCGGTTTTGGATGCCCTAAACAAATTATTCTAATTTTGCCCGCAGATGATCAACTGGACCGCGGTCATTTCCTGCGGTTACGTAATGATCCGCTCCATGAACCAAAAGTTCCTCGACGAGTTTCCCGCCATCCTGACGTACCCGTTCGGCGTGATCGTATGCGGTTCTTGCGGCTACGGGATGCTCCAAATGGCAGCGGAAATGTTTGACATTGCGACCTCCTTTCTGAACTCGTGGTCGCAAACGAGACACAAAAATTTGCGGAGGATCCTCACCTCGTGCGCGACTCTGCGCATCAACGTCGGTAGATTCTACTTTGTCACCATTTCCACCACGATCACCTATTTTCAAAAAACATTCGACTACATTATCGATTGCATTATTACGTTTCCGTAGAAAAACTGCTTTTTACCTTCTCAATTAAATATTACACTCTAAAAAATATGAATGGATACCTACCATTTTGAAAAGCACTTGTCTGAATTTTGTATTAAGTAAACCAAACCATATCCATAATAGTGAAAACTTAAAAGAAACAAGTACTTTAAAATTAGTGTCAATTATTTAATATAGAATTCAGAGTGCATTTATTTTTCAAAATGGTAATATTATTTTTAAGAGGGTATCAACATAGGGAAAAATAGGTATGCATATGCATTTGTAGTCAGTTAGAATTTCTTCAGATCTGTAAAATGTTACTGTATAGATTATTAAACACAATAAAATATAATGTGTTAAATATGATACTATGATACTACAGATAAGTACCTCCTCAACATCAATGTAATTTCAATTTATCTAATTTTGGTAAATTTTCACCACTAACTAACATTCTGTATTGGTTGATTAATATTTATTCTAAAGATAATCTTCGGCCGAAGAGTTGTTGGTTAGTTAAAGGCTTACGCAGTTATTTCACAAAATACCAAGGTAAATGTGCTCGCACGTGCATATTACCTACGTATTATGTATAATTATGTATACCTATTTATATTTAATTTATCGGTTGGACTTTCCACGAACAAGCTGCACAACAGTATAATTAAAATTACACCTACATAATCCAAATTTCGAACTACATATTTTAATTAAATAAAGATATAAAGCATTTGGGTTTTGAAATTCCAATAAGAAAATTTGAAAATGCGCAAGTAATTGGTTTTCCTGGTACATCGACATACATATTTACTAGTTTATATATTTATTTAGAGAAGCTATGGCATTATAATTCAATTAAGATATGTAATTATTGAGCCATTTTATTAAATACATCCTACACTAGACGAAATTCTATAACAATTTCTCTCTTCAAAACACTACTTGATTAATAATACTAATTACTGCAACATATTTTAGAAATTTGGCAAACAATTTCACCATGGATTAAGAAATTTCCAATACTTCGCAGACAACTACACTTTAGATAAGTCACGTACTTAAATCCGGAATTATTCTACAATGACTAAATACATTTATGAAAAATGGTGACCAAGGAAGATTCCTATGTGTTGCAACGCTACCTCCGCATTGCGGAGTATCTGAAGTGTTTACCCGTCAAATGGGACTCGGTCAAGGGCATAATTGTTATAAGATCATCAAATCAACAAAAGTTCGTCATTTTGACCATACTTGCTCACTTCTTGGCAACATTATGTCGCCTATATTCCACTACATTATACCCATCCAGCATTCTGAACCGGGCCGAAGCTGCATTTGGGGCGATACTGTACGCGTACATGTTCATTATACGGTTGGATATCCCAGTCGACTACGGTACAGTTGATACCGTAAATTTTATGATCACTTCAAAAAACTCGGAAGCTCGTAAGTTACCAAATTCACTAGGTCCACCTGATATCAATTTACCAGAGGGGGGAAATACTTTGCGAAGATACATTATTTTGAGCTCAGTAATTCCCAGGGTTTGGATTTCCAGAATTATTACAAACACAAAAAGGTGTGTGGAGAATGCCGCAGTCATACGAAAATACAGAATCTTACTTTGTATTGAAATACTTTGTATTTTGTCGCTGACAAAATACAAAGTGTTTACGATTTTCTAAACATGAAGTATTTTTACCCCGATAAAAGTAAATTTCTTTAGCACACCTGTATTTTCGACTGACAGTTATCTCCCCCGTGTATTATACCCATTCTGTGGGCATAAGTGACCCGGAAATAAAAACCCTGGGAAAAACAAAGCAGAAAATACACTATTTTCATAACCCCACAATTTACATATTTAAATTTTATCGAGTCTCTAACATACATACTACTGTTTCAGCGGGCACCTAGAGTTCCAAAATAAATGTGTGTATTGACTTGTTCACACACGCTGTGGGAACGAACACCATTATACTTTCGCTACTTTTATCAATCTTAACAATTTTTGCCCCATGTCAACCTCTCGTCCTGAGTTCGCTTATCTGTCACGATGAGAGGTTTCTTATCAATGCAGGATTACCTTACCGGCCCATGATTCTCATTCTTTTTGCATCCTCAGAATTGCTATTGTTCATAACGGCTGCAATTTCAGGTTTATATTACAATTTTGGGGTCTTACTAAAAGGTGTCGCGTACCTATGGATTGATTGTAAAAATTTTGTAAATCGTTATGAACATGGTCTCGTCACGATTCTGGAATACAGAAAGGTTCAGGCTTTCGAAAAGTGTCTAAATTCCTGTATTAGATCTCGAATATTCTTCTGTAGTGCACTAACAGTTCCTACAATTCAAATTACCCTGTGTTATGTCGCCATTAAATCGTTCCAGTCCGATGACAGAAACACCTTTAAGGGGGCAATGTTCTTATGGACTTACTTTATGGCGATGGGTTTTACCATGATGATGTTCACGGTAGGGGCAAAGATTAGTAATCTGAGCAAGAATTGGATTTCTCGAAGCAGATGGAATATTAAGAGAAAGTGGGAGAGGAAAGTGCACAAATCTCTGGCCCCGTTAAGTCTTAAATTTGGTAATAATTTCGTCGAAAGATTGACACCCCTCGTAGTGCAGGAATTCTGTGTGCGACAAACGGTTTCATTTCTACTCGTATCGGAATGAGTTTTGAAAGGTATTAAACTAGTTTTGAGCATGTAACTCTTCTTACGGACTCGAATTCTCAACTTTTATTCCGAAAAGTACGATTCCTCGGCCGTGTAAATAATTGGAGTTGGACGATGCGGGATAAGTTGTGTAAATGTAGGACACATTTTACTAATGCGGGTTAATTATTTTATAAGTTGGTAAAAGTTTATTAATGAATAGCAAATTATAGTATGATTAATAAATAAATTACTAAAAATGTTGGGGTTCGTTTTTCCAAAAACTGAAAATCTCAATGTAATTTATTTATGTACAGAGTCTCACTTTGCCTCATAATTATATTATTATAAATCATAAAATAGTGAAAATATGGGGGTCGATTTTTCGAAATAATATACTGAAATTTCTGAAAATCTCAATTTATCACAAAAAAGTCTCACCTTGCCTCGTTCCACTTGTGAACAAAGGAGTAACGTGAATGACGTGAAGTGAGACGAGTTTACATATTGTTTGCATATTGAAAGTCCCGACATGCAAACGTGTATTTCAGTTTTCGAATTTTCGCCGCGGTGGCGATTTTAGGCCTTCGACCTGTCCTTGGCGAAAAATTCCTGTGGGCGTAAAAAAATCGTACACGGTCCGACCAAAGCTCATTTTTCTTCAAAACGCATGTCGTATCCGATAAAAAATATTAGAAAGTTCAAAAAAAATTATCCACGAAGTTTTTTTTTCGACGCCTCAAATTTGTTCACAAAAATAATGGTGACCTTTGACCTTTGTGCGATATTAAAAATCGACGACGAGGAAATTGTCCGTATATACTTTTGAGATTTTTGTGCGGAGTTTGAAATTTTAAAATTTACGCGTTCATGTCGATATAAAAATTATGTCATCGTAGCATTAAATTTGTTACATACTGTAATTCCGAATTTTTGGTTTAATTTATTGAAAAAGGTTCCATTGTATGTACATACATACATAAGTGCCAACATATTTTTCAAAGGATTTTTGTTTTTTAAATTTCATTTTGTATTTTTCCCTTCTTTTCCATATAATTCTTGAGCAAGTTTTACCCTCTCTCTCCTCCTCATTCCTCTAGCTATCAATTTTTTTCCGTGTTTCCGCTTTTTCGGAGCCAGCAGAGATTCAATTCCCTATAAAAATGTATTAAGCACAAACTGGTCGAAACTGCAAGAACAAGATTGGATACACTTGAAACAATCCGGTAATAAAACCGATGATAAAATAAGGTATATTTGTTACACTGGCGTTGGGCCGTCCATAAATTATGTAATGCAAACATCGCGATTTTATACGCCCGCTACCCCATTAACATAGGCACGATATTATTTATTAGAGCCTAACCCTCCCTTGCGTTACTTAATTTATGGACGGTCCAATAGTAAAAATTTGTTACAAGCTTGTAGTATAGGTACACTGTAAATAATTTGGAGACAAATCGTCACCCGACGGAGGTACTATACTGCTCTATTTTTGGGTAACGATTACGGAGACGTTTTGTCACCAACGGGAAATAAGCCAAAAACTCGTGTACCAAACACGCGTGACGTCGCCATTAAAAAAATGCAATACTTTCATGTAAAAACATCATACGGTCAAATAAAAATGCTCACAGCTTTTTTTTTTAAATTACGACGTCACGTGTGTTTCGTGCACGAGTTTTTGACTTATTTCCCGTTGGTGACAAACATGCAAATTGAGCACAGCAATTTAGATTGCGAAGTTTGCGAGATTTCGCAAACAAGTTTTTAGGAAAACCATGGGATTTTTTCGCAAATTTACCCAGAAATTGGGCATGTTCTTACTTCGATAGATTATTTGGCAAAATTATCCTCGTCATTTCCAGCAAGACAAATTAAAGGAATGCATGGAAAAAATATTAAAATAGGTGTTTTTTTCAATAGATTTGCGAGATTTGTGAAGCAATATTTTGCGAATCCCCTCACGACAGAAATATTTGAATCTTCGCAAGTTTGCTAAATGAGTTGCGATGCGAAATAAGACGTTGTCGTCGTGAGTACGCCTGATTTATCATATCGTGGGAAATTTTTACACAGTCTGGTATTACAAATTATTACCGGATTGTTTAGAGGGTACATAAAATGCTTACTTGACCACTAAATCCATTCCCTCTCCCAAATTTGCACTGGGTTACGTAATATTCTGCATTATATTTTTGCCCGTCATATTTAAAATCTTGAGCAATCATGCCCGTGGCGTCTTTTATTACATCGTTTTGATCCTGAGGAGATTTTCCTTTTGTGCAAAAGTGACGTTCAAAATTGTTCACTCGACATAAATTTCCTTCCAGAACTTTCTCCAATTCAGATTTGACCACGGAAATTTTGGCGTTCGCGTTTTTACCCGCGGACGGATAAACTTGCATGTTATAAATCCATTCTCGTTCGTTTTTATCCTTTCCGGCGTATATTCCCCAGTGGCTGAACCCCCCCTTTCGCTGAATTTCGATGATGTCCCCAATCTCCGCGGTTAGAAGGGCAAGCCAGGAAAATCCTGTAATTCAATTCAGGGGAATAATAAAAAGTTTTTAGTCAGGATGATTAACTACGAAAATATTAAGAAAATTCATTAAGAAAATTCATTAATTCGAAGACGTTGTAAGTACAGGGTGGTTTAAATGTCACGCTACAATGGAAAATTTCTCAATGGGAAACATTCGGAAATTTCCATTACATAGCTACCGAAATTTGAGAATTTACCGAATAGTTTTATTAAAACTGAAAGAACACTAATGACAAAATTCTTGAAATATTGAATGCAAAAATTTCGTTGATTTTTAAGGTGATTTTTGTAATGTGTCGCCCAGAGATTAATTTGCTACACGTAAGGAAAATTTTTAAATTTGGTTGACATTTGAGAAATCCATCAAAATTATGATAGATTCAAAAATGGTGAGAATAAATGACCCCCCCCCTCCCCCCCCTCCGAAAGGACGTTTTTCTGACTTCCTTCCGCCGCATGGCCACAATTTTCAGGACGAATTTTGTCTTTCTCCTGAATTTACCCATTTGGGACTGTGCAGAAAACATGTGATCGATTTGAGAGGGGTGTGGGTCAAGGCATCGTATTCTTCGCGTGTTAAATATAACATGGGGCTTATACGTCACACAGGTGTGGGTAAAAAAATCCCACGAAAATCTATTACATGCTTTATGTACGGCCCCTTACTTGTCTTCGTTGCAAATGTGTAACGTATTTAATGTCAAATGTTTAAATAAATACACAAAATGTTAAATGGTCAATTGTTTTAGAATTGTTCTTACGTTCCATTTTCTGATGTGTAACTTTTTTTGCACAATTAATTAAAAACTAATGGACTGCATGCACAAATGTGAATAATATGTGTGGATGGATTTTTGTGTGTCGGGTGTTCTCTTTGTGGACACGTTAAAGACTAAAGTTAGTGAAATTGATTTTAATGGGGACGATTTTTTTGTATGAACGGAGGCGTCTGTATTTTTAGAAATTGGAACCAATCCAGGTAGACAGCGAGAGTGCGTAAGATATGGCAAGGAAATAAAAAAAGATAACGATTAAGAGTAAATATGCGGAATAAAGATGTGCATATCTTTATTCTGCAAAATCAACTATGGACCATTTTATCGACCATAAGACAAATATGTACTTATGTACATAAATACATACATACACTGTCTAGATTTACATATGTACAAAAGTGTCCAAGTGTAAATTATTTATACAAATTAGAGAAACATTGAATCTTTGGTGACAATTGAAGCACATGAAAACTTGTCTTTTGTGATTTTTTTCATACCTAGTACTCCCTCAATTGCTGTTACAAGATTTCCTGGGTAAATTAAGCTGGCAAGACAATTTTTGAGAAAGTTGTACTATTTTTTATTGAAATCCCCATGCAATTTTCCGTCAGAAACCATGTTTCAAAAACTTTTGTGACCCAAGGTAATAAATTGATAGGTCAGCAAATATGGCGTGTTGCAATTTTTCAACAACATTTTGGTAAACAAAAAAATCCGACATTTTTAAATTGCTCAATAAAAATCGGAATTGATTGCAAGGTGGTCGACCGTACGATAAAATGGTGCACTGACACTAATAGTGTCCATGACCAAAAAAGAAGTGGAAGGAGACGGTCAAAAAGGTCACCAAAATTAACCAAGTCACGAAAAAATGAATTCCTCCGAATTCATGCCGAGCGCCAAGAAAATTTCCCTCACAAATTAACGGATGAAGTAAAAGTAAGCCGAGCCCTCAAACTAAACCTTGGACTTATGTCTTCAAGATTTGAAGAGAAATACTTCCTAACCACTCGCCAAGTAAAAACAGACCCATTAGACCCCTGACGCTGATCATGCGGTACGCGCTTGGAAACTGGAAAATGATATTTTCAACAGATGATCCCAGCTTTATGGATGAGGCCAAGTAAAATAGCAAAAATTCCGTTTCAACACACTACAAGTCTGGGCTATTCGTTAAAATTTCAAAAATGTTGATGGTACCTACCATCCTGGTTTTTTATTGGAGATAAGTTGCATTTGTTTGAAAAAGTGGGTTTTCTTCCTCTGGGAGTGAAATTTTGTATCAAAAATTATTTTTGCAAGTTCTCTAGCGAATTGTAGAACCACTGAACCACTACCTATTCAAGAATAGCGCCATGACATTCAAACAAGGCTCAGGTCCTGCTCATGAGGTCAAAATAGTAATTGGGTGATAAATTTCCCAAATTCCTGACTCCATTTCGGATCAAGAAAAAATTCACTGTCGCCGAACCTAAACCTGCTGGAGTATGACATATTTTTCAAACTGGAGCTAGGTGTCTGTGCTAAACCCCACACAAGTTTGGAATCCATAAAAAATTCAACGGTATAGAAATGAGGTCAATCTCCGCTGGAACGCATGCGTACTCCGATCGAGTGGTGGATACCAAGACTCCGGGTTCGTGTCGCCTTATGAGATTGACATTTTGATAAGTGAATAGTGTTTCCTACATGAAATTTCATTGGCTTTCCAGCTATGAACTTATTTTTTCGAAATTCGATGAACTGGGTTCGCTACAGCAAGTTGTTCTTGTAACACTAATTAAGGGAATACTGGGTACAGTAGACGAGAGTATGTAAACGAAACATGTTAACTTCATGGCCCGTCCAAACCCAGCCATTAATCGAGCCGGTTGTGTCGTTTATCTCCCTACCAGATTTACATACGTAATGCCCATACATACATACATACATACATAAATACCTTGGTTACATAAGTTCGCTTCTGCTTCAGATGCGACTAATCAGTAAACTTTAAATCAGGTTTAAACAATTTAATAGAGTCCAATTTTTACCGTATTCTTTATTTCCATACATTGCAATATCATTTATATAAATACAGATCTGTATATGCACCTTCCAAATAGTGACAAAAATAAAGTACTTATTTGTAAATATGTAGCAATCAATTACACAAATTCACTTGCATACATAAACTTTCCCACCAGGTTGCAAATTAATTAATCATACATATTTACGTATATCATTAATAATTACAAGATTCACCAATAAATCCCTATGTAATCACTCCCCTCCTCCTACATCTCCTCTTCTATCATGCGACTTCAAATGATACTTCAAATGATCCGGCCGCTTAAACCCCTTCTCACAATGGGGACACGGATACTTCCTCACCGTTTGGTGGACCTGACCCTCATGCCGTTTCAACCTTCCCTCCGTCGGAAACGTTTTCCCGCACTCCGCGCACTGATTCCCTCTTTCGGAATGTTTCGTTTGCACGTGCGACTTCAAAGATTGCGGGTATTTAAAACTTTCCTCGCACTGGTCGCACTTGAGCGGGCGCTCGTCCGAATGTTTGCGCATGTGCTGGACCAAATTCGTGTACTGGTAGAATGACCATCCGCACGTTTCGCAGATGTACGTTTTGCTCCCGGAGTGCGTCAAGATGTGCGAGTCGAGCTGACTTTTCCGGTCGAACGCGCGTGCGCAGAGGGTGCACCGGAATTTGAGCTGGTCAGGTTCGTGTAAGAGTTGTATGTGAGATTTTAAACCGTCCCGGGTAGCGAGGACTTTGTGACAGATGTGACACTCGGCTTTTTGGCGGGAGCGGATGTCAGGATTCTTTTTCTTTTTGGGGAGTTTTTCGGGATTTTTCTTCTTGTATTTGCCTCGTTTTTTTGAGGGGACGGTGGAAGAGGGGGATTTAGGTTGAGGTGATTGAGCTTGTGGGGAAGGTGGGGTCCAATCGTCGGAGAGGTTGGAATGTGCTCCGGTGGAATCTTCAGAGGAGGAGGAAGATGAAGAGTCTGGTTTGAAGGTAAGGACAGGTTTTCGTGACCGGGTTGACCTCCTGTAGGTACATAATTAAGGAATTGTGTGAATTAAATTTTACTTGGTTGATTGCTGATTTTGTTAAAAAAGAGAAAGTTTTTTTGAAAAAAACTAGACGTTATAAGGCAGAGTTTGTTTAAACGTATGTATTGCAACCTTTGTAATGATAATGCAAATGCAACATTATCATTCCAAAGGTCAAGGGATTCAACTACATAGATTTAGTTTCATATGAAGCGTATTATATAAGTAGCAACTCGCCTCTCATGGTTGTCCAAACCATGACTTAGTGTGCAGGTAGAGATCATGCATGACAAGGGTTACTTCTGTGCGTGGGATAACAACTTATCTTAGGTTTTCTTGTTATAAATATGATAATCAACTATCATTTTATATGTATATAATAAGAAAAGTTAAGATAAGTGCAAATTCAACGCATGAAGTCGATCCAAAGATAGAAAATAAGATCATCAAGATTAGGCCCGACTTTATGCGTGGAGTTTTAACTTTTACTTAGTTTTCTTGTTAAGAATATATTATTCAAGTATCATTCTATATGTATTTAACAAGAAAAGGTCACATAGGTCAAGATTCCACGCACTGGATTAATCCTAAAGTGAAAGGTTAAGAATCGTGACGTAGTAGGCAACTGTCACGAAGGGGAGAATAGGATAGGGATGAGGAGCGTAGGGTGGTAGCAGCGCTACAAGCACTCTACGTCATCATAGGTTATAACATTGCATGTATATATAGCGTAAGCAGAGGAGTGAAGAGGAGAGTTCTTTTTCAGACACGGAACGAGCAAGATAGGTAGGCAACCATCAAGGTTATTTATTGTATAGAATTTCAGGAATATTGAACCCTCTTTTCTGCGTTCAATTTTTAGAAATTTAAGATTTAGTTGTTCAAAAGCTATAGGTTAAGTTCCCTTCTAGATAAAGTTAACAAATATAAATATATAAATTAGCTCTCCCACGCATAAAATAGTTCTTTATAATTAAATCAATATTTTTCAGTCGGTATTGATATAAATAAATATATTTATAATTTCTCTAAAAGTGAACTTCTACAAATTATTCGCACAAAAGTCACAAAATAAGGGGCACCCACGAAAGTGGGTGTGGACAGGGACACGCAAACCCCATAGTTAGAACAGGGGGCGTTACAGTATGGAACAAAAAAAATCATTTAGAAAATCTCAGGATTTTTGTCTCTATTTTGTTCAACGAAACTTCTTAGAATGAAAAGAAGTCTCCCACCGTATGCTCTCCAATTTTTAGCAAATTCGGTCGCAAATTCAATTTAAGTATGTAGATTAGAATGAAATTGAAAAGACGCGATCTCCTAATGGTAACGTTTGGCAGAAATATTTGCATCCGTTCCGAAGAGGAAAAAACGTGACAAAAACTCGAAAGATGCTACATTTTCCAAAATTTACTACACGTTTTTCCTCCGTGGCTACAAATACATATCTCTGCCAATCTTGTCCATGGCGAAATCGTGTCTTCTGAAAACTTCATATTAATTAAGTTTGTCCTCGAGTGAAATTAATTTGGCCAAAATCGGAGAGCCTACGCCGGGAGACCTGCGTTGTAGGTGGAAAATTCTTACATTCTACGTTGTCCCTGTCCATGATCATCATCGTCTTCAGGTAGTTTAGGCTCAAGCTTTAGAGGATCTTCGTCACTAGGACTGTGAAGAAAATCTTGGCACGATGGTGACGATGGGGGAGCCTGGTCGGCCCTGTATTTTTGCGTGACTTCGTCCAAAGACGACTTAATTGACAGCAACCAGTCCAGCATCAAGTTAAAGTTGCACGAAATGTGGTCTGCCGAACAAAACATTATTTGAAAATAGATACTACATAATTAAGAAATTTTAGTTGTCAAAAATGTATAATAAACCTCCAAAATAGTTTTGCCACTTGTCCACAATTTCTCCAAATGTTGTTTCAGCCTTAAGAACCGTATCCTCCAAGACTTTCAGGTCTCTGAGCAACTCTGACCAATCTGTCGGGTTGGTTTCATCGCTAAGAATAATTTACAATTAATTAATTAACAACTTTTGTAATTAAATAAGATTTTAAAATTAATTACCAATGCATAAATTCTTCCTCCTGTTTTATCTCGTCAGGATTAATAAATTCCTCGACGTCCTGGTAATCCATTTTTGCAAATATTTCTGAAATACAAGCATAAAATGTTAGAAATCTAGTCCAGTATTAAAATAATTCTGAGCTGTTACAAATACAAATAAATACGTTAATTAATAAATGACACCGGGTGGTAATGTAATGTTTTGCCATTTAAAGCAAATTCTTAATAATTTCAATACCAAGCGGTAACAAATTTAACGACAATTCCACACCGTATTTAACTGTAAAATCATTTTAAAATTTTAAATACTGAAATGGACAAAATTCAAATCTTTTCTATTTACCTGACGTGAATCCCGTTTGAATTTACGTATTGTGACAAAATTACTGACTTATAGCTATTTAAAAATTTGTAAATAACGTAATTGTCAAATGTTTAATTCGAAATTTATGATAAATTTTATTAATATATTTTTGTATTTTATATTTATTTTGTTTGTGGAGCAATCAGGATTTGAGATTTGCTTCGTCCCAGACAAGAAAGTCGAGGGGGAACTTGAACCTGAACAAATCTTTGTCTCCTGGGACGACTCTGAGAAAAATTTGCATGCATGCAAATTTTTGAGGTGAACATGGCGAGGGGAGATGGGCATATAAGGTCAGTTTGGAGGGGGGGGCATAGGGAAACATTATCATTATGCGATAGTACGAGAAGGAGGAACTTATTAAGCTAAATTACTTAGAAGGATGTTTCCGGGTGGGGTACATCTAAAAAAAAGTGGCGGCTCATAAATTATGTACCGCAAAAATCCCAATTTTCTACATCCCTCCCCCCTTTCCACCTTTAACATGTGTCTCATAGACACGATACAACTGGATCCTTGGTCCTCGCCTCCCTCTCCTCTGGCGTTACTTAATTCATGAACAGTGCCAAATCAGAATTTTTAAATACAGTTGAAATTAATATTGAGCCTCATTTAGCCGTCAAATTTTTACCCCGGTAAACCGACGCAGTTGGTTTACCCAATTGTGTATGTACAAATACACACACGCACAAACACACTGTACGTCTGAAGGGGCCGTACATAAATTACGTAACGCAATAGGGGGGAAGGGTCTAATGATGCATATCCTGCCTATGTGACACATATTAAAGGGTGGAGGGGGTCTAGAAAATCGCAATTTTTGCGTTACGTAATTTATGCACGTCCCCTTACGTGCGTATACACGCACTTGTAGATTTTTCTGGGTCTCGGGTCCAGGGTTCGGAAAACCCCGGGGTTTTTGTAGAAAAACCCAACCCCGGGGGTTTTTCCGGGGTTTTTGGAGTTTTTGTGGGTTTTTGTGGGTTTTTGTAGATTTTGGGGCAGGTTGAACCAGAATTTCTAAAATTATATATTAGAGAAAAACTAATTTAATATACAATTTTAACATGCAATTTTGACCGTCATCATTGATTTGAACTGTTACATCGAAAATTCATGTTTGACATGTAAACCTGGAAATATGCAATGATATTTGGAAATTCAAGTCGCAAATGAAAATTCTCAAAATTTGAAGATGAAGCAGAAAATTTAATTAGCATTGATCCACGTTGTAGTTTAAGGGATTTTGTTTCGATCTGCCTCAAAATCCTACAAAAACCCCGGAAAAACCCACAAAAACCCACAAAAACCCGCAAAAACCCCATTAAGCACGAGGGTTTTTCCGGAGATTTGATACCCCAAAAACCCACAAAAACCCCAAAAACCCCAACCCACAAAAACCCGGGGTAGCGAACCTTGCTCGGGTCTCCCTTCAGGTTGTATAAATCTTTCTCTTCTCCGTACAAAATCAGCTGCCTCGGGATTTGCACTCGGATTTCCAAACAGGATTTGTTTACTACGTTATTAAAACCTAAAAAAAGACTAACTTGATTTACACATTTAGTATATTTTCCTTTTGGTGAGCTCACGTCAAAGTGGCAAATTAACAATCTCTATCGGCAACATATAATTATCATTTCTTAAAACTAATGTCACTATTTTGAACAGTAAATGCACTCTGAGTTCTGTATTAAATAAACTGTACACTCTAAATAATTTGGAGACTAATCGTCACCCGACGGAGGTACATGTACACTACCCAAAAATAGTACATATGTATATGTACTATTTTTGGGTGGTGATTATATACGGAGACGTTTGTCACCAAGGGAAATAATTCAAAAACTCATCTCCGAAACAAACGTGACGTCGTCATTTAAAAAATGAACATTTTTATCCGACCATATGTATATTTTTTTTACATGAAACCATTGCCTTTTTTAAATCACTTTTTTAAAGGTGTGATTGGTACACGAGTTTTTGACTTATTTCCGACATAACATGTCCAATAGTCCAATAATTACCAAAAAAATAGTACCTCCATCGGGTGACGATTTACCTCCAAATTATTTAGAGTGCACCTACATATTTATTCCAGCTTAAAAAATTTGCAACTTTTTGCAACCCTCCAAAAATGGAAGAAATCAGTATAAATTTGGACCAGGGTGAAGCAATGATTGTCGTAGCACCCCTGCGGAAATGCAATGTTCGGAGGGCAGCAGCTACTTCTGAGGGGGCCGTGGCCCCGAGGAAGGTCAGGATTAGTCTTTACACCACGACGGTGATGTGTCTCAGATCTCACGTTGGTGAAATTGGTCCGGCCAAGCCAGGAGGTGGTGGACGTTTCGCAAAGTATTCGAGAGTTGACGATCCTTTTGATATTCTTGTTTGCTGCCGTGACCGCGACCAACATGTTGCTGAAATGGGGTGAAGGTGAGATAAAGAGGGGACGCCCATATATTACGTCATCGAGAAAGCGTCGATTTTTAGACACCCCTTCCCTATTCTATGAGCAAGCTTAATATGAGTTTGTACATAAGATAAGTAACTACCAAAACTTCCCGCCCATCTATGTAATAAATCGGTGTTTTTAGTATTTAAGTGTGCACATTCACAATGTACTGTCGAATTTTTATAGCCGGTCACCTCATTTACATATTTTGACGCATTCACGAGAGACATTCAGTCTTTATTCATCATGGGAGCCCGAATCGCCGAAAATGGGAATAGTGAGATTTATGCAAATGAGGTGACAGGCCTAAATACGAGGATACTAATCTCCCTAAATATTTTGATTCCAGACATCCGTCAACAAAAGTGGATTTTCTACAACAGATTTTTCCTCGAGTTGGGTCAAACCAATGAAAGAATGGATTTCGACGCCCTGTTTTCGCTAAAGTGGTCACGGAAACGGCAAACTCCGGCAGAGGAACAAGAAGTGGTTCATTTTACCACATTTTTATCCAACTTCTTGGAAACTTTGGACACTAAATTGACCCAGCTTTCTTCCAATGTAAGTTAAGCGACCAAATCTACGAATATTTTTCATACACTCTTAAAAATAGTTTTGGAAAGTAAATGACCTCTAAATTAAGTAAACTATACTAAATCTCGAGCAGACTTTACTCTTTATCAAGGTAACTCTAAACATTCAGGAATCAGTATGGTTTAATTTAACTTATGTGTATAGCATCTAAGTGCATTTACATACTCTTCAAAAGGGTAATATTATTTTTAAGAGAGTTTGAAGTTAAGATTTTTTAAATTATTTTGTCAATCAGATTTCGCCCAGTAACGAGTTGGACGTTTACATCGCAGCGGTTCGGCTTTGGTCGATTTCTCCCCCTTCCGACAGAGATGCAGAAATTAGATCGAAGTGGGTTAATTTTCTCAACGAAATGGCAACATTTGTGGAAGAGCGGTAAGGTTTTAAATATGAAAGTCGCCATTGTTCTTCACAGCAAAATTCAATTTTTATGAATGATGTTTACCCGCACAAAAAAATATAACGAAAAATCCTACACTCCTATAAAAATAATGATACTCTTCTGAAAAGTAAACGCACTCTGAATTTTGAAATATATTCTGTATATATGAATCAAGCAAAATTTCTGTAAATTTCCGTACCTGGAATTTTTAAAATTTCAGAGGTTTATTAATAATTAGTCGTCATTATTACATATTTGTTATGAAATTTATCTGAATAAGTAAATTTGTCTTGCTCCTTCCAGGTATAAGAAACCAGACGCGGCCAAAAAATGAAGAAACCCAAGGAAAGATTCGATCCTCTTAAATCTTCCAAAATATTTAATGTCTTCTTATTTATAAAGTATTGGGCTTATCATGTACACAAGTTTCTTGCATTTAAGGTCGTGAAATTAATTTTATACTGCGCTTCCCGTGAGAGTAGGGCTTACACATTTGCATGTACGTATATGAGTTGATGGGAAAATAATAACTCATCGTTGCTCAATTTTGCAACCATTTTGCAAATTATCTGTGCTAGTAACTTCACTTGCATATTTTCACTCATGGATAAGAGACAGAGTTAGTTCAACATGGAAAGCCCGTATCGCAGAAAATGGGTATAGTAAGATTTATGCAACGTAATCAGATCACATATGTACACAACCTGGTTAAAGTAGTTAGGAATGGGTAATCCGATCCGAAGAAATCCGATCCGATCCTAATCCGTCGGATTATGTCGGATCGGATCAAGGTTTTTTCTGATCCGAGGCCGATCCGGTCGGATCGGATTGGTTCAAAAACCCGATCGGATCAATCCGATACTTCCCATCGGATTTCGGATCGGATTTCGGATTGTATTATTTGGATCAATCCAGCTTGCTTCCTCTATTCACCCGACATTTTCCACCCACTATTTCACAAATTACGACAGATTTCAAAAACAATCTTTCTCTCTCCTACCTCTAACATAATTTGTCAACACATTCGTCAAAAATTGATTGGACAAAGTAAAAAATTCTTGTTCAGCTAATATTAATAGTCGCAATTCCTTGATAAATTTTCTATTGGTCGCTCGAAAACACTACGACATAATCTGTCATGAAGCATTTTAGATTCTTCACGCCTATAATATTGGGTGAACAGTAACTAATTACTAATTACAGTTGACAGTGAAGAAAATTAAAGTGTAGGGTGGATAAACTGGTCTATCTCCATCGATGGCCACGATCATAGATTGTAAGTTTGCAGGATGCAATCCCAGAAATAAAGTGATTGGATTACGTCTCTATTTTTGAAAAATTTCAAAAAGCGTAAGGGTCACTATTTTTGTCTAACAATGGAGGTCTCCCAAAGTAGTCCCACAGATTTGGACCAAACAAGCTTCAATGGATGAAAAATATAATTAGTATGAAATTTTCAAATGGAACTATCTGCCAATGCGCAGGTTTGGCGGAGATATTTGCATCCAAAGCGGGAAAAATGCGCAGCAAATTTGGAAAATTAAACATTATCCAGCCTTGGGAGTGCGTTTTCTCCTCTTTTTATGCAAATATCTCCGTCAAACCTGTGCATTGGGAGATAGTTCCATTTGAAAATTTCATACTAATTATATTTTTGATCGATTGACGCTAGTTTGGTCCAAATCTGTGAGCATACGTTGGGAGACCCCATTGTTAGAAGCGCACTCAACTCTCGCGATGACTTGCTTCCTTTGAGGCTTTATTTCTTGACAAATATATAGCTCAACTGGATGTGAGCATATTGATATCTTGTACATTTCCGGACGATTTTTTGAAGTAGTGGATTTTTTAATAATGCGAATTTTAACAATTTGTCAAAACTCGCCTTATTAAAAAATTCGCTACTTTGTTCAAAAAATCGCACGGAAGTGTACAAGATGTCAAAAGTGTTCACATTTCACTGCGCTATCGATAAAAATAAAGCCTCCAAAGAAACATATCGTCATGAAACTTCAAGTGATTTTTTGGGTCAAAAATTGTGACCTTTGACCCTGATGATATTTTTCAAATTCTGGAAGGGCAGCCAGCCCCAATATTTCTGGGCTACCACTCTGAAAATTTTCAAGCTGATATCGTTGCCATTGTGTGAGATAAAAAACTCCATCCATCGTGCAATTTAATTTGGCCCCCTATTACCTATTGTCTATTCAATATGCAGTCATGTTAATTATGACATGTTAATTAAATTTGTGTTTGCAAAAACTAGTTTGGCCAAAATACTTATTAAGGCAAACGTACGGAGACCTCCATTGTTTTTCTCACAAATTTTGACATTTTTTTAAATCTTACTGTGTAACATTTGCCCCGGCCTCTCCATCATGTCCGGATGTTGTTGGACCAACTCGAAATCTGGTCCTAGTCGCAACTCGAATTTCAAAATGTCAAAATGTCAAATTTGTTTAACCAAACCTACCATCTATTTAGTTGTATTATTACTACCAATATGACTGTTAATTAACTTGATGCCTTGGCCAGAAATAATGGAGTAAGAAAACAATTGCAACTTTAACCTATTGAGACATTAAAAAAGATTAGGAATTTAAAAAGACAAATTATTGAAAAACCTACGAATGTACATATTTACTTATCTAGCTACACGCTTTCGGATAGTTTAGAAATTTTATTGCTAGAACCCACCCCCACGTCGGATATCTATATTATCACACAGCTCATCCACCTCGCCCTCATCGATATGCATGATACACCTGAATTCCTCGACACTATATCTGTCGCAGATCGTCATCCAGTATTCATGTGCATCCATCCAACCCATGCAAATATTTGCGTATTTCTGCAAGTCCTCATAATTAGGGTGGTTCTCAAACTTCTTTCATAATTTGGAACGGCACTTTTGAAAATTCCTGCATGTATTGTTGGCATCATCTTGTACGGATTTGAAACATTTATCAAAGTCACCGCCATTCAAGTATCGGATGCACACCGCGTTTAATGGCTCTCCCACAAGTAGATCTTTCTTGGCGGAGAATAAATCGTTTACCAATGTAACATGACTGGTCACCATTCTTCTGAGGCTGACAAATAAACAATCTTCTCGAATATCTTGAGGGATGTGGACCTAAAATTGGGAAATAAGTAATTATAATCCGATACTGTAATTAATTTCGTTAAGCAGGATAAAAATTGGAACTCGTATTTTTCGTTTCCTTGAATATACTTTGCGACTTGAGGTTTGAGTAATGGACAAAGCCCAAGTATTACAAAAATTATCTATATGTTTTAAAATGCTACTTTTCATATTTGTGATTTTGATTTTGAAATTAAAGATCATGTTCAAATTATAAAATCTTGCAGAGCAAGATCAAGATTGAAAGCTAGAGCCGTAGATGAACGATCAAGTGATTAGCAAGCAAGATATTTTCTTGATCTTTGATCTGGTATCTGAGGTAATGGTCTTACCCACCTCTGTATTTGGTCTGCTGCATTTTGAGATGTTTAAGTTCAAATTTGGAGCATGAACATCTTTTTAGCTTATAAAATTTGTGGAAACTTTGAACGGGTAACAGCAGGGTTTTAATTTAGTTGCACATTTTTAACTAACCTTATGAATATAGTTCACCATCTCCATGCAGGGGTATGCTCCAATAGTATGCTCACGAACTTCGAGGTAATCCTTGATCATAGTATTTATTCCAGATAAGCTTTGTTGTCTCATGTAAGCCTCTCGTTTTAGGCTTGTCGTGTACGTAATAAACTCTTCCTTTATGCTGTCGGAAGTGCCGTCATCCACCGTGAGCATTTCGCGAAGTTTATTCAACATTTTGGTGATAGGAGTGAAGTCGGGAAAAAGTCGGTGAAATTTGTCCTTGTCGAGGCCAAATGTTGAGGCCACTTCGGACGGCGTAGCGCCTCCCTGTGATTAAAAAATTTTCACAGTGCTCAGTATTTTGTACTAACGTGTAACCATTTTAATTAAAGGAGAAATTTTCACAGAAAATTTCTTGAAAGTTTGCACATAAGAAAAACTACCGACGCCATAAACCAAGACAATGGCATGAATATCAACCCCATCTGGTCATCATTAATGCTACCGCTTATTTAAACTCCATACCTACAGTGCAACAAATATCATTTTTAATTTGAGAAATGTACTGTTTTCGATTTCCAAACAATTGTTAAAAGTCCTGATGTCCTGATGATGATGCAAGTTCAGCATCGAAAGCTTGAATAAATTGCTTTTAGAAACCACACCCATGTATTCCGACGAAACCTCCTCACATTTTAATTAAATTTTAAGGTACGAAACTCTAAGAATTTGGGAGTCAGACACTACTGGACCAGTAGTCATGTATGTATATGTCATGTCATGTTTTTTGTTGGTGTCCACGCAAGATTATAATTATCTTGCGTGGACACCAACAAAAAACAGTTACATAAATATTTTGACATACCATGACGGCGCCGAATGCATCCGTCACATTTCCTATTACGTCCGGTGTAGTTTCGTCAAACAGAGTGCAGTTGTCGACAGCGTCATCTATTTATGTAAGAATTGGTAAATTTCACTCATGCATTATACATACATACATATATTATTGAGTTACTGGTGGATTTTCTAAGATATTAAAGAACTTGCCAATAAACAGGAACACTCCCATCATCAAAGTATAAGGGGCAATATCGTTCATAAAAAGACCAAAACTGGTCAAACTGGTCAACGTGGATACTCCAGTTTTCAACCAGTTTCCGTTCGACCACTTTTTCCTAAATCCAAATCAATCAGCTTCCTTTATAAATAGACTTTCGGTCCTGGACACGCTCTCGTAGTAGAGGTCCGTCCGGGGGAACTTGCCCCAGGGGAGGTATTGAAGCAGGGTAGAGGGTGGAATTCTCACTTGTTTCCTTGTCCAGTAGCACTTCGTCGTTCCATGATTGGACCAAAGCGACCATGTTTTTCCTTGCAGAAATTTGTTGAGAGGCTGCGCCGATTTTCCCGTTTTCAAGTTGTAGATCGAACCGAACCCTATTGCGTGGATAAGATTGTACTTGCCGGTGTCACCTGACTGGAATCTAATCGCTCCCATCCGGGTTTGGTAGGCGTCCGCATCGTTCGGAACGCCACGGATGATGGGCGTTTCAAAGTCATCTGTGCCGTTTATTTGGGGTTTTACTAACATGATTGTAGTCTGCAGAAGTGGAGTAGAAGATTTCAAACTAAAGTGGTCGGAAAATTGTCTGGGTTGAACAAGGTTTGCGTACAATTTTTAGTATGTAAATAGTAATCGTAAACAACTAACTCTTACCTTGGCTATAAAAATGGAACAGACCCGATTGTCATTACCCGACTGCCGTCATATTCTCACATTCTGCAACAATTCACAGGGTCTTAAATAGCTGGATTTTTTTAAACTAAATACTTAACCTTTTAAAATGTATGGAGGATTTTTGGCCTCCTTGGGAACATTGCGTTGCTGCAGGAGAAAGTCTTTTAGCCTCCTAATATTTTTGGGCTTACTGCGGGAGGAGGTCAATTAACCTCCACGAATTTGTAGCTATGGTGCGGGAGGAGGTCTTTTAGCCTCCACCCAAATTTTTTCTCCACTGCGGGAGGAGGTCAATAGACCTCCCTAAAAAATATTTTTTTCGCTCTTCATAACCCATAATAATATTTTATGTCGTAAAATAATTACAAGATATTTGATCAAATTTGCACAAAAAAACACTCGGATACAAAATTGTGGACGTGTTGAATTTTCTACCATCACATTGCAATGGATTTAAATGAGCAAAAATTTATTTTAAAATACTCAAAAAACCCTTCCCACAGTAACCGTCTATTTAGCGTCCCTCCTATCACGAAACTAGATTTTCTCTTTGGAATATGACTCCCGAATCATAACCCAATAATCACGGTAAATCTCCCGCGGTAACGCCTTGGTCATGTCATTATACGTGGGTGTTTTATTATTAATTTTCAAAAGGTATGTTCCGCACTGTTTCTCGCCAAAATTTTGATGAAAGAACAAACTTCAAATACATTTAGGAGGCTGTGATTTTTTTCAGTTCTGTAGGTTAACATTAACACTAGCAATAACCCATTAAAATTTACCTCGAAAATATGCCAAAATTTACGACTTCATATCACTATCATCCGAAAACCGTTTTCCCCTGATGTCTTTCTTTAAGTTTCGAAACGAATAATAATCACTAAGGGTCAAGTCTGAACTGCACGGGGTGTGGTTTGTGCAGGTAAAGCGATTTTCGTCTGCACTATCCCTCGCAAAAAGCCAGGTATGAGGAGGAGCGTTGTCGTCTAAAAAAAGGCCAACTCTATATTTTGACCCCACGTTTCTTTTCAACCGGAGGACGCAGCTCCTTCTGGGTACCTGCATACGCGGCCCCAAATTTTATAAGGAGGGGACCTTTGATATCCTTGAAAATGGTCATCATCAATTTTTTGTCAGATTTTTGCACATTTCAATTCTCGGGCGGTGGCAACCCCTCCTGCTTCCATTGAGGGAATTATTATTTGGTCACCGGGTCATAATAGTAAACTCAGGTACCATATTTAGCTAATAAAATATTGAGCAGGTTCAAGTCTTCATTTAATAGGTTAAAATTGGCATTGCAAAAGTCGACTCGATCCTGTTTTTGAGATGCTGGAAGCAATTTTGGTACCCAACGGGCGGAAACCATTTTCATACCTAAGTCTTCAGTTAACATGGAACAAATTGCTGGTTTTGAAACACCCATCTCATCTGCTAAATAGGACAGTTTCAATCGCGGATCTCTCATTATTTGTTCCTCTAGTTTCCGGAGCCTTTCTGTGGAAGAAACGGATTTTGAGCGTCCTGGCGACTTTTTCCCCGAGACCTCGTTTCGCCATCATTTAAAATTATTGACCCAATTGAATTTGTGTTTTGTGTTGGGCAGTCTTCATCGTAAATTTTAAGGATTCAACCATAAATCTGCGACACGTATTGCCGATCCAGCATTAAAAATTAAATCACACTACGATATTTAATTTGCAAATCTAGCATTTTTTCCGTCGAGGTAAAGTTTGCCGATTTATTGCTAGTGTTTATGTTAACCCACAGAGCTGAAAAAAATCACAGCCTCCTAAATGTATTTGAAGTTTGTTATTTCATCACAATTTTGGTCAGAAACAGTGCGGAACATACCTTTTGAAAGTTAATAATAAAACACCTACGTACACACGTTTTAAAAGGTTAACATTGTAATTTAGTACATGTGTACATATGTATGTACCAATCACATTTTATTATTGCAAAAACGAGAATATTGTAATATATTTTTTATCATTATATTCATCATTTGAAGAAAAAGTACATAATTCTCATGTTTCCATGAGAAAAGCATGTCTTTATAGCTGTTATTTTTGCACCCGAAGCCTAATGGATACAAGATGAAAGACTTTTTAATTAGTTATAGAATTGCAGATATACATATTACATATTTGTATATTATGAGCAAGTTCAACAATTTTTCCGGTAGATAAAGTTTCTAATTTATGTAAGTTCGGAGTCCTCATTACATCTTTATTGCCATGCCATAATTACCCCAATTATAGCCAATTGAAGCAACTTTTGTGAGAATTATTTACGTACATAAATAAAATTATTTTCTACTTTCCTCATATTTTTTTCTAATTTATAAGTACGTCACTCCAGTAATAGTTTATGTAGCTGTAAGATCAGCCAGACAAATCTTACACCATTTAAGATACGTAGGAATGTATGTATCTCCAGATCGTTTTGTGGGAAGTATATATCGTACATTTTCTCAATAGCTTATAAACGACTACGCGTGTAAACAATTATTTATTGACTATAAAAAAACTCACAATTGAACCTTTTTTCAAGCTTCTGGAGTTGTTTAGCGAGTTATATTAAAAAACCGAACATAAAAAGTTAGGAGTCACATGAAACTTATCTTTCAATCGGCAAAGTTCAACTTTTTCGTAATTTTTTTTCCTCCACGAGGAAAACCAAGGCGGAGGTGTCAACTATATTTATCTTCAATGGGACCATTGTGGTGGTGGTTGACCTGGACCTTATATCCATATTTATCTACATATAAAATTCCATCCAAAAATAAATGCGTACGCTGCTCATCAGATCGATAACGGAAAGATTAGTATCATGTGACTATAAATTTTAATTTTTGGTTCGCTCTTTTAAATATAACTGGCTAAAAAATCCCCGTGTAGCATGAAAAATGGTTCCAAAAGTTATCAGTTCAATCAAGATAAGCACATAGCTCCAACGAGGGAAGTATGTATATACAATATTCACCATTTGCTCAATAGTTAATAAAGGAAATGTCAAAATGAAAATATGTACATAGATATGTAAGTTCAAAAGTCGTGCAACTATATAAAACAGGTGACATCGTTATTCACAAGAATTTGACATTTTTATTATAAGATTTTTTTACATGAAACTACAGATTTTTTAAAATAACCACATTACGTGTGTTTGGTACACGAGTTTTTGACTTGTGTACATACATATTTTTCGTTAATCACAAAATGTCTTCTTAATCATTTACATATAAAAGTGGAGCACTATCGTACTTAATTACTCCGCTGGTGACAAGTTGTCTCCAAGTTATTTAGAGTGTAGTTCAAACGTCAAGTTTGACTCAAATTATTCCTAGCTGGCCACCGTCCAACCCAACTTTACTCAAGGGATGAAATTGTCAACGGTCGCGTTACAGATTTTGTAGGAGAAATAACAATGCATATTTACTGGATATCCACATTCTCTGAATTTCCTGCAAAACTTTTGAGAAGTTGTATAAATTTCGCCATTTCTAGCAAGCTCAAGCTTTGATGAACTATACCTTTTTCAGAATGTTTGTTTGTTTGTTTGTTTGTTTAGCATTTATTCATGTGTTATTTCTCGATCAGTACATGAAATGACTGGTTTTCATCAAGTAACACGAAAAAATAGGAGAAGAAAGATTTAGTTAAATTAAGTCATAATACATACTAAAATACGTGACATTCAAAGCGTTATCGAACATTATTCCTTACAAAACTACTACAACAATCAGGATTGTTTCAGCTATGTAAGTCTTACAATCAAATAGCTTTCCCTGATAATTTCCATTTTTTTGAAAACTATGGAATATATATTTTGGCAGAAGTGGATTACGACTTTGTATTGCATGGTATTGAGAAAATTTAAAAAATTCTTGCAAAATTTATTTAACGAAAATTGTAAGAAATTTTCTAGCATATCATACGGCATTCTGTAGTACGCCTATTATAATTTTTTTACAAAGATGAATTTCAAAATGAAAAAAAGTGCTATTTTTTAAATTTCGGCTCACCAAGGTCTGCAACCCATTGACCAATTATCCGACGGAGTTGTAGGTGCATAATTACGTAAATAATAATTACTAAATAATTTGATTTTGGGGGTTATACATATTTATTAAGTTGTACAATTGAAATGCAGATCATTTTAATGGTAACGATGGTAAATACATACTTTTAAATTTGAACAAGTTTTCACGATGTTCATTATTCTGATGCAATTTCGGCGATAAAATAAATGTTTCTCTACATAAGCACAAATTTGATGGTCCATACAAAGGTTTATTCTTCGTTAACTACAAGCTTTTAACTTACATACATAAACTTGAATACTTTAAATCAACATTGCGTGGTTATTTTCTCCTAATCAGATGAAAATATAAATTATGTATACTTACGCGAAACCTAGGCAAACTGAAATGTATGATCGAGTGCCACTGATTTGGGCAAAATAAGATAGTATACAGAGGGTGTCCGCAGTTTATATGAACAGTATGAATTATCTTATAACTTCTGAACACGATGACTGTGAATTACTTTAGCGATCTCAATGTGTTCTCCATTCTTCCTTGCAACAAGTCTGAGTCTTGGTTTCCAACTTCCAAACACATTTTGACACGTTTCAGGGGAGACAAGATCCCATTCTTGATTTAGAACTTTCCAAAGCCCAACCAAAGTTCATGACTTCCTCTTGAAAATGCTTTGTTTCAGGCATCCAAACCCGAAAAAATCCATCTGACCCGTGTCAGATTACTGAATATGGACCTCGGAATAAGATGTCGAGGTCATTCCGGTTCTTTCTTATTAATCTTGGGCGTAATGCTGAGTTAACCAAGCAGTATGTGAAGATGCCGCATCGTTATGGATGCAAACTTTATAAAGCTCCTCAAATTGCTTCGTTCGAATTTTGACCTCCAAAAACGTATGTAAAGCACTCTCCATAAAGTGCTTCGAGTTAATTTTTGCATTAGACCCAACAGGTATCAATTCTAGCACTCCATGGCCCGTCATTGCACCAACCACCAGAAATCAGTCAGACAGCTTTTCCTTCTTTTCAGACCCATAGTTTGAAACCTGCTTCTGGTCGTTTCTGAAGCGAATTATTTTTATCCTGTTATAGTTTTGAAGGTAGCAGAGTGCCCCGGTCAATGTGACGACAAATCCGGAGTTTGTACTTCCAACATGACCTTCAAACAGCCTTCAACTGCTGGTTTTTTGTTTACAACATTGGATAGTTTTAGTGTTCCGAATTTCGCCTTCCTAAGGACTCCTTTTTCAAAGTTGTGATTTATAACACGATTAACGTGTTCAAGAGGCATCTGGGATTGTGTTGTGACCTTTGCTTGGTCGGAGGATTCTCATTGAGAGGGAGGCAGTCATTTTGCTTGAGGGTGAGAGAATTCGTCGTTTTGAGGGGTATGCATTTTTAAATGTACATTGGTCGGATTTAACTAATTACCATCGTTTTCTTGCAAAATTGATAAAGGGATATATGGGGGACACGATAAGATGGGTTTCAGATTTTTGGATAATCGTTTGGGCACTTTCCGCGGCCAAATTAGCTTCGGAAACCGCTTTTACGCCTCCCCCTACTTCGGGGTCACTTTTTGGGGCCAGCTTTGCAGATAGAAATTTGAAACTTTGCACAGCTGTAGTCATGACCTTCGAGTCCGTGTTTGCCAAATTTGGCGCCAATTGGATCATCCGTTTGCATGTTACCCGTGTAAATCTAGTGTTCATATAATCTACGGACATCCTGTAATATGCTATGATAGGAGACTTCCCTGATTAGTGGTACTGCAGCCTCACGAATTTTTCCAATTGCTAATTTCACTGGGTAATACTTCCACAAACCTCACCGTCTTGACCTGATTGTTGTTGGACTAACACGAAATCGGGTCCCAACTCAGACGTCAAAATGTCGCAATTTGAAATTTTTTTAACCAAACCGGCCGTCTGGCGGGATTCTGATTCAGTCGTTGTCAAGTCAACCAATTTCTCTTCGATTGGCTGGCCGATATTTGTACACGCCTCGCACGGACACCCGCTCCCACGAGGTCCGCTCCCTCCACATTTTTCCCCGCAATCCACCCCACACTCACACTTTCCCTTCCTCTTTTTCCCACAATACCACATTTCACCCTCTTTTCGGCACAAAACTCCGTCTCGATTCACCCTGAACCCGACCAGCTCCACGCATGCGTGACACGGGCACCCGCTCAGCGGCCCGCACTGCCCATCGCAAGTCCCACAGCGACACGCCATCTTCCATTTCCCGCAATAAAACAGGTTCTGCGGTGTCATCGCGGTGTCCCCGCCATCCCCCAGGGAACCCCCCGGTTTGGCCAGATCTCCCGCCGAATTGACTCTGAAACCGAGAAGTTCGACACATTCGGCACACGGGCAGCCGGATTTCGGACCGCAGACGAATGGAAATGGACAGTTCCAACAACGACAGGATTTCTTGTCGGAAAAAGTTCGCCCGCAGTAATAAATGGAGGCGGGGGACAGGCCCGTGTCCCCGCCAGAACTGGGGGAGGACCCAGTACCCAATTTGGCATCATAGCCAGCCAGGTTAACAGTCTTTTTAGGAAGGGACGATTTGCTCCCCTTCGTCCACATGATGAAATGTTCCTCTGAAATGGAAATTTTTGGAAACATTACAAATATGTAAAGTGAGCTTTGTAAAATTCTTAATTTATTTTACCCGCTTTTACAAGAATTACGTAAGGCCTTGTGTTATTAGGGTACACTTTATAACGCTTCTATTTTGAATATCTACTTGATTTGTTAAACTTTCACTTCAAAGTTTGTTAAATTTCCAAAATTTAGTCTCTGAGTTAATATTTCTTGCAAATATGCAACTTCTAAAAATATATTCTTCGTAGCTGAAAATCTTGTCAATCACAAAAAATTAATCAGTGTTTTGGCAATAAAACTTTTAAAATAACCGTTATCAATGTGTGTACGTGCAAATATTTTGTTAGACTTATTTACTTTCCTTGTTATGTATTATTAGATACATATCTCCATAAAGTTCCAGGTGCGAGTATGTGTGTTTGTTTGTCCATGCAGGTGATATTTTTCCAATCAGTGGGAGGTATTGTACACGTAGACTAATGAACGGGCCGTGCATAAAGCATGTAAGGAAAGTCATGCTGACAAGTAATAAATGGGATATGTATGTGCATAATAATCTTGATCTATTCCGCGTCACCTAATTTACATATTTGTTAATGGTGAAAATGTGCGTACTGAGATTTATGCAAATTAGATATCAACGGTGGAATCAACAGTGTCCAAAAATCTTGTGATTTATGCACGACCCCAACATTCAGAACCTGTATGACTCATTCGATCGCGTGTTTAACTCGTTCGACTTGTGGAATAGAATAAATGAAATGGGATCGCATGTGAAGGGCTAGATATAAAGGATGTCATTTATATAAATACACTTTTTTTACCTTTCGCGACAAACATCTAATGGAATCTTTATCATAGAGATGTGACGCCGTGCGTGGCTAACACCTCCTTAGAAATCAGCGACATTCTTTATGTACGGTCCTTCATTTAGACAAAAAATGACAGAAGCGCAAACTTTTCTCTGTACACTGATATATACATATGTATGAACATTAACAAGTTGGATATTTACATGTGTATGAAACTCTTGTCCCCATATGGTCACGTATGTATGTATTTAGACCATGCATGTATGTATGTATGTATGTACGAACAAATTTGCATACGAGACTTGCATAATGAAGTCAGCATCTGCAAATTTGTACTCATAATTTTATTCACAGTTCACTGGGAAGTTTTACTTTTGTTGCGGAGCAAATACGATTTTTATTGTCAAATACGCATATTCAGCAAATTATAAACAAATACATACATATTTACAAAATGAAAACTTGAAACGGGAAATGGGGAAGATTTATTCAAAGGCAATATACAGATTATCCCAGTCTTGATTTTCAGTGATCATTAACTATCTACATAATGATGGGTAAATTTCTCCTTACATAAAGCATGCTTCCCACGACTTACATAAGCTATTTAATTTACCTGATATGACTGAATAATAGCAGTTTTCCTTTTGTTTTCAAAGTGTAAGGCGAATGTGTTCCAAAATTTAGAAAAGTTTGCTGCATGCGTTCAAGATCACGCATAAACTACTTTATTCTAGATGAAGAATTTGATTAATGCCAACATGTTACAATCGACTGTACATATATGATTCATTAGTTAGCTCCTCGACAAAAATTAATTTTGGAGGTATCAGAGATATGTACTAATGATGTACAACACGTTCATATACATATTTTATTGAACCGCAAGGGATTATGTATATTGCTAAGCCCGAAGATTAATACGAATACATTTAATTATCTTAAACTTATACTAACATTCACATTACAAATATTTGTGGTAAATTTATATCGGTATCAAAGGACATTTTGTTTGAGATACATTACTTATTGATTCGCCGTCGCATTTATAACTAAATTTTAAAATTAACTGTGGTACCTTTTAATTTTTTTATTCGAATCGATAAAAATTTGGACTATGCGAATAACTGCATATAATAAGCCTATCAAAATAACAATTATATGGTATCTTTTCTTCAAGCTTGCGAGAAAATATTTCAACTTTTTCTTTATTATTTGGGAAAACGGTTTGATGAAAAGCTCAACTAAATAGCAAAACGTAGAAAATCCAATACTTACTCCAAAAATCCCGAATACTGTCAGCAGGCTACTCTGCAGGGGAAGTCTACTGACAACGTGACCCTTATCAAACTTTTTAGGGTCCTTTGCAAATATCTTATCCGTAATGTTTTTCAAGACCTCTATTTCCATAAGATCTTTTGAGCTTTGCTTTAGTTTTTGAAATATCCCCGCTTCATATAATCCTTCTACAATTTTAGGTAGTTTGGAAGATTTCGAGTAGAAAGTATTAATAAAAATTTCAGTTTCTCTTAATTTATCTTTCCCAATGTAAAACTCGATGTTTGGATACCTTTTTTGCAGATAATTTTTTAATGAATTAATAACCTTACTATGCCCGAAATAGATGGATTTTTCACAATTCAATATTTCTTCTATTACCCATTCGTTTATTTGGGAAATTTTTATATAATCTTCTTCGGATTGGTCAACAGAATTGGAATTATTATCTTCTTCCAGTTGTTTACCTGAATCCGAATTATCATCTTCACCCGATTGGTCCCCAAAATCCCACAGTTTTTTAGGATACCACCGCATATCTTGATCAAGAAGCATCAAGGCAAAACCATTTATAAGTTTTTTTAACTTTAAACTTGGAAATAAAAACATTTCAAATAATAAATAAACCGTAGTAACGTTAGAAGTAGCTCACCCTGTAATAATGATTTGGTTATACTTGCCCCAAAGGTGCAGAAAAACGCAACAAAATAGATACATAATTTTTTTGCAATTATGCACCAATGGTGCAGAAAAATCCAACAAAGTTGATCAATAATGTTTATCAATATTGCACCAATGGTGCAGAAAAATCCAACAAAGTAGAGCAATAATGTTTATGCAACATTGCACCAATGGTGCAGAAATATTAAACAATATAGCTCAATAATTATTATGCATCGAGAAGCGTCCAAAAATTGTGCACTGGTGCAGAATTACCTAGGAACGGTCAACGATAATTTTGAAAAATTTATGTCAAAACTGTATGATCATTTCTCCCGGATATTCTGCATTATTGGTGCGTTTTGCGTCCCTGCGTCCAATTATTTCGCATCATTTTGTGTTCCCGATTGTTAGATATCAATGGTCCTATTAACTCGTTAAAAAATTTGATTCGGTTTGTTTAGTACCAATTGTGTGCCTAACGTATCCAATAATGGTCAAGGGGCTGTTTAATTAGCATCAATTGATGCAAAAAGGTCGTTAACAGACAGACGGACGGACGGACGGACAAGAGGAATTCAATAGCTCCCGTGCTACGCAGGGTGAGCTAATAATTTGGATCAAAAGAATCAAAACCATCAAAAAGTTTACTTGACAAAACACTAAAACAATCAGACTCGTTGTGATATTCTCTATAGATGCGAGTCTCCGATTCTACTCTGCCTAGGATTTCATCCTGAAAACGATTAAATGTAGTTTCCGAAAATGTTTTTTCTTTCAGGATGGGCTTACATAAAAGGGATTTAATTGTATCAAATAGTTTTGGGGGTGGAGGTCCATTAACCTTTGTAATGAGGAAACTGATATATCCGTTACTCAAAACGACGGTCATTAACAAATAAAATATCGAGACAATTCGAAATGCATTACTTTTCCCTAAAGTTGAACAGGACGGACTTGAAGGTTCTTCGACAATGTTGCCAAGATAGAAGAGCAAACTTGTCAGCGCACCCGTTACCTTTAGATAATACTTAACAAATATATCAGTAAATAGAGTAATTGCAATCAGTGTAAATATCGAAAGAATCCACGTGGAAAGATCGAAAGGCTTCTTGTAGATGGAGTAGACAATTTTCTCTACCTTGTGACAAGATAGATAGTTGTATGAAATTTGTGTGTAGAAGATAGATGTTGATGGTAGTTTCATATCTTCAGACTTATCCAGTGCTCCTATTTTTAGGGAGGGAAATGTTCCGTGATAATCCTCCTTAAAAGTTTCAATTAATTATTAAAAATTATAATCAGTTATTTAAAAGTGATTTTTTAATAGATTTACACTTTTGTAATAGCACCTCCCATGAAACAAGTTTTGATAGGCTTCAGGTAAATTGTGAATAAGTTCGTCGAATGTTGATTTATCTTTCAGTTCTAACAAATCACTTTGTCGTAATATCCAACAAGGTTCTCTTATATTTGTTTCATAGACAAATATCCTGTCTAAATTTTCAACTACATGACATTTCAAACTATCCTTGTCCACGCCGGTGTAATGAAATGGATCCCAGCAAATGGTGTGTGATGACAATAAGAGGAATTTAAAGTTTGTAAAATAAACTTTGATAATTCTATTATAGCCCCAGTACTCAAGGAATTCGGGCCCCGGTCGGTTAGGTATAAGTATTACTGTGACTTCGTCTTTAACCATTAAATGTAGCTCGTGAACGGAGTCTATTCTTTGAATGATTGGGACATATCTTAGCAAATAGTATATAATATGGAGAGAAACATGCTTGTTCAAAAATTCCATGTTATAGTAAAATACTACGGCGATGCAATTCCATTTTTTATCTGTAAACGCTTGTAGTGTTCTCAAAGCCCTGATTATGTTTGTCACTAAGTACATGTTAATACGAAATATCTCTATTGGAGCGCCATTTGTGTGTTCTAAATTTTCCGTGGACAGCCCAAAACTGAACAATATTTGTCTAAAGTTTGTTGTTGGGCTAATTATATTGTGCAGTTTGGGAGAAGTGTAAGTACCAAAGTTAATGGATTGAGAAGAGATTTGATGGAGAAGAAGGAAATTTAAGAGGAATAGCAGCATCGAAATTGCCATGGCTAATATTGACTTTTCCCGTTCCAATTTCCTTCCAAGTAAAGTCAGGAAAGTGGAACGGGACTACGTAGTGTTTTGCGGTATATTTTTTCCACGACTGACTATTAACTGATATTACCTTGCCCACAGTGAATATACATAAAAGTATTATTAGCCGACCTTTTCAGGTTATATAAACTTGTTCGTGTTTTTGTTAGATTTCTAATTTTATGCATATGTACAAGTCTTATGTATGTCGTCAAATCCTTCAAAAAGGCACGTAATGCTTTTAAAGTTTTTGGGTAATTAAAAAAATACCAGAAGGCCCCTTCTACGATTGGGGAATGTGATACATACACAAAAATGACAGGTTTGTAATGCAGGTGAGGAATATATGTATAAAATATTTGACCGAAAAATGTATATTAAGGTAAGAAACAAAGATCAAAGGCAAACGTAAAGAAAACAGAGTTACATACCTACATGCATATGGTTAAATTTGTGAAACAAAGAGAAATGCCAAGAATTTTAAGAAAATTTGAAAATGATAAAAAAGTTGCAACAATTTTTCTAATGTTTGTAATATTTCTAGTCAACAGGCCAAC